AATTTTCATAAATTCTTGCCTACGATCCGTAAAAAAGTTTCACTTATATCGTAGTTTTATGAAACCACACCACACTTTTGTATGGTATAGGGCGCAAACGAGCATATCCCCAGATGGTAAATGACTACCGCCTACCATTGGCATATGTAACTCACGAGGAGACTCCCGAGAATCAGAGAGAGGGTTGGGTTCGTGAACCCGGTGAAAAGCAAAGAAGGTTTGCTTTCTGTGAGGTCATGGTATGACTTCGGTCGAGCCGGCCTGATTGTGCCGAAACATGGCTCTCCTACGGTAAACAAGTATTTTGTATGAAAGGTAGGTCCTTTCATGTGCCCCTGTTTATTCAAAATTTTACGATGATTATCAAAATGTTTCAGATGCGACTGACAAAGTTTGTTTCGCATTTGTAATAGATTATTTATACCAGTTCGAATATTGCATTTAGCTTCTTCCATCTAACTATTTTCACAATACTTTTAAAAATTTAAAGAATAAGTCCGTGTGGTGACGGATTAAGAATACAAATTGTTACCACCCCAATTCATCCCGTGGGTGTCGTAAGAGCCGACTAAGGGAGTAAACTAAGCAGGACAACAGCACTGCAAAGAGAAGGAAAGCTTGAAAGGAAAGTTTACACACCTTTTAAAACAAATATAATTAAAACATTTCCTACTCCGTTGATTACTAATAATATTCGGATAATGGTCGGGTTGCGAGATAAGGCTGATGCTAACCATGACAGTACTAATCTAGAGTCACATAAATTGTATTATAACGATCTGAAGAGGCTAACATACTTTCATCACAGTTCTTTTCATAACAGGGAAAAACGCCGTATTTTGTAAAAAAATATTAACAATAAAATAAAATATACTAAAGGTCTCTGGGCCAATCTTAAACTGAATTGTTATCTCCTAAAATTACTCACCTACCAAGCTACTTTAGTCATCCAAACAAATTAATGATGTATATCTTCAAGTTCCTAGAGCAGATGTTACCTATTATGCATTTCAAAGACACTCGCATGCTAATTTTTCGTTGAAGACAATGAATGAGCAATGAATTCTTAAAATACTAAAACAATCAAAATCCAAAGCTCAAGGTATGGATGGTATATCGCTCGATATGTTGACTCTTGGTTTGCCTTAGTCACTAAAGACCATCACGCTGATTATGAACAGATCTATTAAAAGTTAGTTATTTCCGCACTTATAGCGACTAGCTCTAGTACAACCAATACACTAATGCTCCGACCCGCGAGATATTAAGGACTTATGTCCTATTAGTATTCTAAGATTCGTCTGTCAAAGATTTTAGAGATAGTCTAATTATTTGCTTTTAGGGTTCCGTAAGAAACGTAGTACATGTACTGCCTTGTCAGACGTTGCGGCTAATATTTTAAATACGCGTGACAAGGGTAAAGGTACATTATTAGCCCTGTTGGATTTAAGTTTTCCTACTATGGCTTTGACGTAGGCACGGTGAAATGGTTCGAGAGCTGTTTATCCAATCGGGCGCAGGTTGTGGAAGTCACTAGAGATGATGGAAGCTAATCGATCCAAAAGGGTGCCTGAAGGATCTATTTTGGGCCCGCTTTTATTTATTTTGTACAGTGCTGTACAAATTGTATTAAATTTCGTGACATGACATGATGACATACAAATATACACCTCTTTCTAGCCCACACCAGCTAGAACTCCAATAGTTGTACAAGCAATGAATGAAGAAAAAAATGCTCTAGTTTTGATGTCTCTCAAAACGAAATACATGGTTATGGGTAGTGAGGTTGGGATATTATTGATAATAAGATTACAGATACAGGCCCTCGGATTATGATTGAGGGAAAATTAATAGAGTGTTAGAGGCTTGCAACCTAGGATTAATAATGGATCCGAAGCTGCAATTTGAAACTCGTGTTAACAACGTAATGAGTAATTGCTTTTATCAACTAAAAGTTTTCTACTGAATACGACAATTTCTCAGCAGTGATTAATGTAAGAATCTCGTTGAAACATTAGTGCTATCGAAACTCAATTATGGTGATGAAGTATATGAACCATGTAGACTAGAACGCTGTACTAAAAATGCGTTTGCGTGATGCCATTTATAAACAACAACAAAGTCCTTAAAATAGTCTCCAGAAGAAAATTACACTTTACCACCATATTATTTGTTATTTGTTTTTTATAAGGCGCCAAAGAAAATGATAAATATTTATTTAATAAATAGTTTTGAACACAAGAAAGTTACACTTATCCTATTAGGTCATCAGTTTACATCTTAAATGTACCTGTTTTTTGTTGACGGGGTGGAAAATCAATTCGAATCTCCGGCTCCTTGGGAATGTAGGAGCCAGGAGTATGTGGTGTTTCGCCAAAACCACCCCGACAGCCCGACTTAGGCCCTACTACGAGGACCATGTTATTTCAGGTCCGCCTCGGATCGACGACGCGCCTAGTAAAGCCCTATCCCGGGGAAGCCCCGGGCTTCACCCGCCTATCGGCCCAATCCTTATAACATGTTGCGGCCCGATCGCATTTATGCCACCCGGCCGCCATCGTATTGCCTACCGCAGCAGTTAATCTGCCACCAATCTCTGTCCCCACTCTCTGGCTGCCTGCGGCCCCGTCGATGACTGGTATCGCCGCCGACGCTCTCTACGCTCGGCATCGGCCCTCTCCCGATCCCGTTCAGCGGTCTCTTTCGGGAGCATTACAGCTTCACAGAAACAGACCACTGCGCCCTAGCTCTTCTCACCCGTATAAATATATTATTTACTGTGTTTAGTACTACATTGTATTCTAATTCTGTACGTGTTACAATACTACATTTTTTTTATTTCTGTACAATAATATTTTGATCGTGTTACAATGTCATTAAAATAAAATAAAACTTTCTTTCTTTCTAACAAAGTGGCTGTAAACACTAACGTATGAAGAGACTGACTGAGATCATCTTTACTAAAATCAACTAATGAAAACAATACTATACTTGATATACGTATAGCTAATGTGCTCACCATAGTAGAATAACATCACGGGAACAAACGAGACAACCCGACACAAGTATTTTCAATTATTTACTGAATTAGTATAATTTTGTGCAAAATTATTAATTTGCTATTGTTTTCGACTCGATGTCACCGTCTAATCGAATAGTCACTATTACTATCAGTTGAGGCTCATAATGTTGGCTTAACCAGGTGGAATAATACCATGTCCAGTGCGCCTTATGTAAATCGTAATCCGTTATAATCTAGATTTATAGCTTCTAATTATTTTACTGTCATCATATAGGATTATAAAATAGACGACATTTTTTTGTATACCAACATAATCAAAAACAAATAGGATTGTTTTTTGGAACCACGAAGAGCTGAATGTTGCTGCAGATGGAGACACTCATTTTTTTGCTAAATTTACCCTTTTTTTTCTGTGCGGAAATCCCGTCGGATACCACCGTCTGAGATATGTATGGTGGGATGGCTATGTCGGACTCGAACCGAACAAAAACCGCACGCCGTCTCTGGTTCCAGTTGCCGGGAAACCAGTTCTACCCTAGAAAGGAAATCCCTGGTACCCCGACGTACCTCGGGCCATCTACGGCGTGTAGATGACTCCCTCCTGTGTGAGAACCCCTATGTCTCCTTTGGGCTCCCAAAAGAGCGTGCGCGATTCGCAGCGCGTCTCGCCACTTGCTTCTGCTAGGATGACAGCTGGCGGAGTCTCTACTCGGGGGTTGTGTGGTCCATGGCCCTTTATGAGGCCCCAGTATGGGCGGAAACCCAGAAGGCCAGCAACGTCGCACTACCGCGATGACCGCAGCGAGTGCTGGCCATCAGGGTCATAAGAGGTACCGCACGATCTCCTTTGAGGCGGCGAGTCTCCTGCCCGGAACTCCAACGAGGGACCTGGAGGCGAGAACCGTTGCGGAAGAACCCTCACTAATAAGCTTGGCAGCTAAGGAATGAGAGGAAGGAGAGGAATCGAAATCTCCTTTACGATTGAGGAAACTCGAGCTTTTGCAGTCAGTAAATGTACATACACTTTACTTAAACCATCAATTACTCTTATATAAACTGCTGACGCACGGGAGTTGGGTCGGAGTCCGGCTTCTCGTGAAGAAGTGAAAGGAACGACTTGGTCAACCGAGCGCTGGGCACGCCGTTATCGCGGCGGTAAGACCCGTTATGGAGGATTGACTCGAGAGGCACCACGGAACATTCTCATACCGGTTGACGCAGGTAATCACCGGCACCAGGGCCCTCCTTTCTAGGGTATACCTGGTTCCCCGGCTATTAGTACCCGGCGAAGGCGTGCGGTTTTAGTCGGTTCGAGTCCGACATGCCACCGACAGGTGGTATCCGAGGGGATTTCCGCACGGAAAAAAAAAAAAAAAAAAAAAAAAAAAAGGTAATCACCGGGAAAGGATGCTTCGGAGATCACCTGTGTCTTGTTATTGCCACCACACAACCACCGGTGGGTAGTATACGAAAGGATCTCCCCATAGAAAAAAAAATGGCTGACAGGTGGCCTCACCTTCCACCCCCGTGTATGTTGAATTTACCTTGACATTTGAACACATGAATGTTGTCCTTTATCATGCTTTAATTTGTTTAAATGTATAAGTTTTCGTCATATATTTCGGTTTATTTATAAATATAACAAATGCTAATGTGAGTCTGACGGTCTTTCTAAATTGATTGTATTTTTATACAGCAGAAATGAACGCAAACGTAGCTCAATACATTTCTACAATCCATACTTTTATTACGTGTTTTTTATAAACCTGTTTTAATTGACTGCACATCAATATACTGATAAAACTAATATACGTATGAAACTAATAAGAGTCAGATTAATGCGGGATTAAATGATTATCGAGCGCCTTACATGTCAACATTTTATGATAAATATTTACTATAAATAACATATTATAAGACTAATAACGCATTCAGTTTAGTGACTTTACGTGTACTGAAAAACTGTATTCCTTAAGCGATGAAATTTTTAGTAGTGTTGGTTGCCGTAACGGCTTGTAAGTTCTTAAATCTATATATATTTAAACACAGTCTATGTCATTCTACTTTTTTATGGTAGTGTTCAAAATTCTATTGATTTATTGTTTCGCGAAAAGCAACAGTATTTTACAGTTCTTCTACATTTTACAGTAAGCGCTGGTAGCGCAATCCCCGTCGTTCCGGGAGATAACAGTCACTATGTGGAGGGTGAAAGCCGCTACATCTGGATGCCGGATGGTGAAGGGATTCCTCATCTAGTAGACTTGCACGAGCCGGCTCACGAATACTTGATTCAGCCTAGAAATGGTGCCAACAACGCATACTGGCTTTTTACAAGGTGAACACCTTACCACTCCCATAACTTTTGTAATGTCGTTTGTTACGCGAAGTCTCGACACAGACAAATTGCTGCAAAAAGTATATTTTAACATTCGTCTAAAAAAACTAGAATAAGGCCTATAGGTTTTTAAAAACGTAAAATACCTGTAAAAAATTAACAGTTCAACTGCTTAATATTACGCAAGGTCCATTTTTACCTATTACCGTCGCAATGGACGCGATAGAGACCAAGCACTGTTATTCTTCCTCTTTCTCCAGAATTCGCGAAAAAAGGGCATATATTTCTTAGGTTTTAAGTATTTTAATATTAAAATTTCTTTAGCTTCGACTGATTTTAGAGCGAATACGAACCAAATAGTATCGAAATTGAAATTTTTTAATAATACAGTACAATTCGAGTATATTATTACAGTGTTGTCCCTCTGTGAAAATCAAGAGTACCAGTTTTGATTCATAATAATCGTTTAATTACTTTGTACACTTTTCTTTAAAACTCACAATAATTAATGAATGTAGTAGCCTAGGCCACAAGATATTGGGCCTTACAATAAAATGTATTACAAGTCTAAGGTTTTAATCTAAATTCTTGTACAGATTCAATAGTGAATTATTGAATTTTTCGCAAAAAGAAACGACTAATAATTGTAATGCAACTACGCAGGAAGTGTTTATACTTATATTTAAATATATATAAATATACATGTTAATATAGAAATGTAAATATAAATGTTAAATTGGTTTGTGTACTACTCGAAAAGTTCTACACCGATCAATATTTATTTTCTTATTTATCATCAGTACAACCACAATAAAGCGTGACAGGGTGTCACTAGTATTTGAAAATTTGTTATTTTTTCAGGCAAAATCGCAACAACCACCAGGTCCTTGTCGATGGAGATATAAATTCTGTTAGGAATTCCAACTACAATGCTAACCGTCCTCTGAAAGTGATCGTTCACGGATGGAACAGTGATGGAAACTCAGCAATAAACCCTCAAGTCACTTCTGCTTTCCTAGATGCTCAAGACTGTAACGTTATTGTTGTGGATTGGAGACGGGTCGCTAGTGGGTTATACACAACTTCTGTGAGGGGTGTTCCAGGTGTAGGAGAGTATCTTGGAAGATTCCTCGTGTGGTTAATTAATAATGCTGGTGGTAACTGGAACAACGTCCACTTAGTTGGATTCAGTTTAGGTGCTCACGTTGTCGGTAATGCCGGCCGTACCGCAGGCAGACTGCCTTCCCGTATTACAGGTAATTTTATAGTTACTTTCATTTTGTCATCTCATTTCTTTTAAATATTGGATACTATAATGTTAATTATATAATTATAAAGGGTAATGACGACTTATGGTATCGCTGCCGTTTTAGACGTGTCTCCGATTTTGACAATCTTTGTTTATATTCCACAAGATTTAATCTTTCAATAAAAATCTGTACTTCGCCGAGAAACGTTACGAGCATTAATACATTCTAGCTCATTATTCTTCAGTTTCCTTTTGTTACAATTATGTAGTTGTAATTTATTTTAGAAGTAATTTGTTAAGAAATATCTCTATTGATTTTAGTACATACATAAGTATCGATATGAATAATATATTTTTTATAATATTTCGGACATCTGACACACAACGCCATCTAGTTTCAAACTAAGCAGAGCTTGTACTGTATAAACTGGATTGACTGATAGAATACTTATCTACCTTTGTTTTTGTAAATACATACATATTATACGTAGAAAACACCCAAGCTCCGAAACATACATTTGCAGATCATACAAACATTTGGTCCGACCCGGGAATCGAACCTGAGACCTTAGCACAGCAGTCGCATACGCTACCACTGCACCACCGAGGCAGTTTATAAATATCAAATTTTTGAATGTCTGGATATTTGTCAGGACCGATTTTGATAATATTTTACTACCAGGTAGATGTCTATATAAGGAGTGACTTAGGCTATTTTTTGTCTCAGAAAACTCCTTTAAATTTAGTAGTATAATATATGTTTAGTTTTCCTAAAAGTATACATGAAAACCATCATATAACAGTGGTTTTTATCTCGACACAAAGATGTTTTGCGGTACTAAGTGTCATAGTCGCGTGGACAATCCCATTTGAAGTTGTTATACATTTTCAGGACTTGACCCCGCTGGTCCTCAATGGGGTGGAAACTCGAACGCTCTGAATCGAAATGATGGTCAATACGTTGAGACGATCCATACTGATGGTGGGCTTCTTGGTATCTTCAACCAGATTGCCGACGCTGACTTCTACCCCAATGGAGGAAGAAATCCTCAGCCGGGTTGCTGGATAAGCACCTGTTCACATAGCCGGGCATACGAACTATTTGCTGCAACTGTTCGAAACAACCATCTCAACGGCAGGGCTTGTTCAAACACCAATCAAGTTTCAAATCCAAATCAATGTACTGGTGCCACTCTACAAATGGGTAACGGAATCGCAAATAAGAGAGGGTACGTACAAATTCATAAAAAAATCTATTTAAACAGTTATCCGGCACTGAGGTACATCATATTTAGAATACCAAACGTAGAAAAAGAGCAGAAACCTAAAATGTTTAACAATGTACTATAACTATAACTGAAATAGTATATATTTCATTGAATTTTAAAGTACTTACAAATAATTATCTACATTACTTTTAAATTATGGATTATATAAAATTGTTCTCATTACAGATCTGGTATCTTCGCCCTTACGACCGGCAACTCGTTTCCATTTTAAAGAACTTGATAGATATTGAACTATGTATATAATAATCATTTAATATTTTAATAAATGTTGTTTTCACGTTAACACGTATTTATTTAATTAAAAGCAGGAGATGATAAGACTGTTTAGGTATCGTGCCATTTAATGAATAACATTATAGACTTAATCGAAAAGATTTCAATATTTTTGTGGCGATTTTAATGTAATAGATTGCTTATTACTTATTATACAGGTAGCTATTGAAAAAAAAAAGTATATTTTGTAAGAAAACTTTTATACGAGTATTAATGACAATATTTCATAATCTCTGCGCCATGATTAGTATTCACATGCTACTAGTATGTACTTTGATTAAATTACTAACTCTAATAAAGTTTATTCGTACTAAGAATAATCTGTTAACCGCTTATCTATATACTACAAATAAATAAAATTGGAGTGTCTGTTTGTAATATTAAAATAACCGCTTTGCTTTTGCTTTACTAAATGCATGTGTATGTTTACACGGTACATATACCAAAATAACATTTTTTACAATTTTTGTCTGTCTGTTCGTTCCGGGTAATCTCTGGAACGGCTGGACCGATTTCGACGGGACTTTCACTGGCAGATAGCTGATGACATAAGGGATAACTTAGGCTACTTTTTTTAGACTAGCTTCGCCCCCCGCGGTTATAACATCAAACGCGGGTAACACCGCTGGTCTCAGCTAGTGTAACATAAATGTAACATCATTACTATAATACTTGTTTGACTACCACTACTTCACCGATAAGGCTGACTACAACAATAACTTCAGCGCTCCACGACGCGACGCCTCTGACACTCTCTCTCTGTCTGTGGGGCGCGAGCGCATTAGCTCAGTTTTGCCAGAAGAAAAATATAGTATACATATATTGTTATTGCTTAATTGATAAAATTTTATAAATATTAATTTATTTACATAGATTTATTTCAACAATATAGGTATAATTCCTAACAATATTGACCGCTATGTGCAAGATAAAGTTGACAGATTTAAAGAGAACTTTAGACGGATTTCCATCTAAATATCGCAAATGGAATGAGAGGACACTCGCTCTCAACCGAACTCATATAGAATATATGCTTTTTTGTACACCAATTACAGTAAGTTGGTTAAATATTACAGATAGATATGTACAATATATATATATTATATATACAATATAAGTATAAACAACTTATATTGATATCATGAAAACATTAGTCATGTACAGTTATAGGAAGCAAAGGGTACTATGAACTCATAGTAGTAGTGTAGCGTAGTGAACTTTGACCATATTTTTATATGCCTTCAGTGTTCGGGCACTTCTTATAGATATCGGCAAGGCGTTCCATAATCTGACAGCCTGCACCTTCGATCAACAATAGCAACTATTGTTGATCGAAGGCCTGCACCGTGAAAGATTTGTCATAGAATATGGTAGTGTGGCTAGGTACCATTAGCTCCAAAGAACTCGTTTTCTATAATCAAGATCTTAACTTAATTAAACTTAAACTAAACTAAACTTATTTTTGGGATTGCTTAGTAATCTCATCTATTATTTTTCGAGCAAATATCCCTATAACCCAACACAAACACTTAATAAATATTTTGAAAGAATAAATATAAAATTATTGAAAAAGTTATCCCCTAACTCCTAATCCTTAATAATAAATAATTAAGTGGTCAACACATAGACAAACAGACATTGTATTTCAAGTACTACGTCACATGTCATTAATCACAAGACCAAAAGGTTTTAGGGTCATACTCAGAAAAAATGTACATTTCACACTTTTTTTTGTCCCACTACTTTAAGCAGATTTAACATTTGAATATTATGGCACATATTTTTAATCATGTTTACATCTATGTTTATTTATTTATTTTAAACTTAATGCACATATTGTACAAAGGCGGACTTAATGCCATTAGGCATTCTCTCCCAGTCAACCTTCAGGTGATGTAGAAATATGATGCGGTAGGTGCAAAATAAAATATGATATTAACATAATTTAGGTCCGGTAATATACACAATATAAAAACACACATGCGTACATAAACCTACATAAATTTCATAAAATATATAAATACTCAGTCGGGAACTAGAGCTGTAACTGTTTCGCCAATTCACCCCGAAGAAGATCGCTCACTTTTCTCTTGAATGCAAAGCGATTTGTTGACATCCTGATTTTGGCAGGGAGGGCATTTCAGAGGAGAACTGACTGGACGTGGAAGGAGGAGTTGATGAAGTTAGAGGTGTGAGGGGGGCATAGAAGAAGCATATTGTTGGTTGATCGAAGATTTTGATCGTGATTGGAGCATAGGAAACGGAAGTGGGGTACGAGGTATTCAGGTAACGATGGAGAGTTGAGGAAAGAAAAGAGAGAAGTCAGTGCTCGTAAACTGCGGCGCTGACGAATTGGGAGCCATTGCAGCTGGGAACGTAAAGCAGACACGTGGTCATACTTTGTTTAGTCTTTAAGAGGATCTTTTTTTTATAAATATTAATATTTTCGTCAAATCATAGTATAATTAGCATGGGATTTTTTTTATAAAATATCTTCCATACAATTTTTTAATGTCGCAATAACGATTTATCTTAATAAAAGAGTAATTGTTATGTCTATTAGTCGACTTACATAAGATTGACTGTAGTCATTTAGGTCTCTTTTAGTTCATCATTTAAATAGTAATACGATTTATTCTTTAGAACGTTTAATAAAATTATTAAAATTCATATGAATGTTGTCCCAAAATTATTACATTTCGTTACTCAGTGTTAGTTACGTGTGTATAATTCTGAATGCAGTTGTTCGAAACTGACGGGAAATAATTTTTCTAATATTGACAACATTGCTGCTTTTTATATTTCACATTCACCTTACATACAGAGGTCATTTTGTTTTCATCCGTACCAGGGAGTCATTGTGTTGAATTCGCATTTGGAAAAAAATACTGTCAGGGTGATAAACGATTTGAATATCAGTAAACATATACGATTGATTGTACTATTTTATGCCCACGTCTTAGTTTTTTTTTTTTTTATTTCTATAAAGACAACTCCCGCATTAGGAATAAATCCTGTGTCGCGGGGGACTTTACAAACATACATGAAACAGACACAAAGAACACCCAGACTCAGAACAACAATTTGTGGATCACACAAAGTGTCGTCCCATGTGGGGTTTGAACCCACAACACTCGGCGTAGTAGGAAGCGGCGTGGCGACCGCTTAAACCACTATGCTATCCCTGCAATAATATATAGACAAATAAATTCAGTTATTGTGTATACAATAAGTGGCACTAACAGAATTATTTTTCGGGGTTATAATTTCTCAGAGTTTATCTTCAGTTTAGTTATATTGCGTTACGTTACGAAACTGAGAAATTGTAAAGCTGAGTTTACGAAGTTACTCTAATTTGAAAAATTAATTATTATCTATTAAAATTTAATTATATTAATTTAGGGGAACAGAAGTGTAAACGTGGTACAATGAAAATGACGGGCTTGATTCCCAAACGTGACAATATATTTCTGTTGAATTTTATTTAGTTGATTCTTCCAAAATATTTATATAATGGAGCAGTACGTAACGGTGATATCTTTTTGTTACAAATTTGTTTGTTATGGAGATTCGAGACTGATTTTCATTATGAAAGATTATTTTATTTTTAAGAAATATTATACTTTCTTGCTTATTTTTTTTTCAATTTGGTCTTAACGGTTCTTGACAACTTGTTTTCTTTAGTTGCTCGAAATATGGAAGAGCCCGATTAAATTTTGACAATATTACTCCGATTATTTAATTGATTTTTAAGAAATGTGTATGATTGTTCTTAGTTATTTTTATGTTTTGAACAAAAATTTGTAATTTAACGATAAACCTGTAATTTAATTTAATTTGTAACTACTACTCAACCTACAATAAGGAAAATGCACGTGACACCAAAATGGACAAAATATTTTTATTTGTAATTTTTATTGCTAAAAAAAGATACCCATACAATTATTTTTGAAATTTATTATAATTTAATAGTGAAATTTAATCATCAAAAATTCCTTTTTTTTATTCCCTTAATTTTTATCACTCACTTTTTTAACTTTCACAAACTTTGTGAACTTCACCCCGTTGTTGACATCGAATTCGTCTGAAAGTGTAATCCGACGTCACAAAAAAAGCGAGCCAAAATGGACGTGTTCAAATTGCCCCAAAATGATAGTGATTTTAATAATTTTTTTTTTTGCTTAACGGTTTATATTTCGGATGTGTTATATTTATTTTTGGTAATGTAATAACTAGTAGAATCGTTTAAAAAAATAAAAAAAATACATGCATATTCCCTATTGTATATTATACTCGTACGTATTGATTCATACAATTGAGTTTTTTTTTTCATTAATTTGTAGCTTCATGGTCCCTCATAATAATTGCAATCAAGCCTTTAGGCGTAATGAGTAAATTAAATTTATTAGCTAAAACATTATAATATACTTAAAGAGTGCGTCCATTGGTACTTTTCTTATGGTTCCTACTCCAATGAAAATACACTTTGTACTTGGTCTTCAAGAGTAGCACTCACTGCACTACGTCACACTAACTTAACTAAACAACTAAAAAGGCTTAGGGTTCTTTAGTCTTAATGATATATTCGTATGGTTGGAATATTCAGTTATTTCCGAGTAGGATGAGCCTGATTTAGATTTCTGAGATATTATGTTTTTATTTAGATTAATTTATTTTTATAAATATTAAAGTGCTTAAATATCTAAAACTGATGTTTTATTATTTTTTAACTTTTGATGCGTCTTTTGTTCAGTATGTACCCTGCTTTACAATATCAGTTTCGTCACATTGATTCTTCATTTCGTTACTTATCAGTTTATTAACAAATGGCAAATGTACATTTTTTCTAAGTATGACCCTTTAAAGATTCTAAAGAACAGGGTTACTTACTAGTTACGAAACAAAAAAATATTAATCAAAAATACACGTCAGAATCTATAAACTTATAATTATAAATTATAAAGTAACAGTGTAAGCAAAACAACTCAACAATGATGACGACGGAAGGTGATCTGCTCTTGTGCCTGAGAAAATAAATTTCGCACCTTTTTTGAAATATTTTTTTGGCATCGTGTTATTGGCGAACCCGTCTTGGGATATTTCAATCAATAAGTTGTGTTACCGGCTAAGACTGAGCCAGCTTCCATTCGATTTCTTACTTCCCATCCAGCCGTGCGGCAACCAGCACTTGCAAGCAGGCTTTTAAAATTTCGAATACTAACTGACATTAAAAAAACACATTAGTCTACTTTAGTTGTTTTCATAATCTGATGGCTTTTAAATAACCATAGTCCCTTTCTTGTGAGCCTGCTTAACCAACATAATCGTAGCTAATACTTCCTAAGGGAAATGTTAGTTATTTTCGGTTAATTTTGAAGCTATTTTTTTTTAATAAATGATACTTATCACGTGCGTATACATTACTTATATTCCTGGTAACCTTTTTTGATAAGCTAAATTTATGTCGGTGGTGGATTTAGGTGGAGTTCAAACTACACCTTAAATCTACTACCGCTGCTCAACTTACAAATCTCCCTTAAATTGCTCACATTACTCACAGTTTTAATTTATAATTACTGGTCGCCCAGTGGTGAAAAGTAACCCTGATTCCAGTTTAAAGGTTATTAAGGTGCTATTGTAAAATACTATATCTCTGAGAGAGGAGAGGCCTATGTCCAGCAGTGGACTGTTAAAGGCTGTTGATGTGTGATGTGATATCTCTGTAATCACAGATTTCACAAAGACTACTATACTACTACTACTATATACTATACGTTAAAAAAATACATTTAAATTAGAAACGATTCCATACAAAGCGAACTGAATAATAATATACACATATAGTTTATGAAGTGAACGAGCAGGCGAGTCACTTATTACTATATATACTATATACTTAGGTAAGCATTCACCACCGCCCGTAGTTACCTGCAACTCGTCTTTGAGGTCTTAGCAGGACGATTAGAAAGGAAATCACTCAAGCAACAAAACAAATGAATTTACATTGAAAAACGATTATATCTTCGATGTCTCGTGAGAGTGCGCGACGGATCATCGATAGACATTTTGTAGTGGGCGGGGCTTAATACATTAATCCCTTATAGTCGTGACACACATAGGGCATGATGTCTTATCACGCTATATATGTGACGTGTCATCGTATAATTTTATGCCACGTTGTAATGTTACTCGCCTACTCGCTATACAGGGATCTACTAAACAACCCTACCAAAAAAAAGTTGTGTCAATATATAGTTGATTAAGATTTTATTAATTGAATTTTAACACTAATAATTATATAAACATTTTATTTCATTAATAAGTACAAATATTTTGGCTACAAGCATTTTCTTACACAAAAGTTAGTTAGTTGTACAGTAGCGTTTATCGATGACACACCAATCAGCAAACTAAGACATTCTTGTTAAATCTCAAATACATTACAGTGACATATAATACAATTAAACGAGTCCACTAATTCAAACAAACAATTTATTTATTTATTTATTTCATTATTGTGAAAAAGTTGTATATTAAAAAACATTATTCAGTCTTGCAATACGAATCTTCCAAAATATCATTGCTTATACATAAAAATGTGTTAACTTATGTATATTTCTATTTACTTCTTAATTTATTATATTACACTTTTTACTTTTTAAATTAAATTAATTATTCAACAAAATACAAAACAATAAACAACAACTAACAATAAACTAAAACTACAAAGTTCTTTAAAATAGAGACGAGCTACTGGCCGTAAGGGCGAAGATACTAAAACTGCAAAAAAGAAAAAGAAAAAACATCAGCAACGTCATCGTCAAAAAAGAAAAATGATAGATTTTTGTAATTACTCGCACATAAATTACTCAAGAATATTCCTATAGGAAAATATTATGTAGGTAATCAATTAAAATTACTGACTTAGTTGTAGTTGCTCTAGTAATTTAAGTAAATGTCTTTCATTGTTACATGCTGCTAAAATTCTACGTACTCTCTCTTGTTTACGATCCTGAGAAGCACCGGTGCATTGGTTTAGATTTGAAACTTGATTGAAGTCGGAACAAGCCCTGCCATTGAGGTGGTTGTTACGAACAGTTGCTGCAAATAGTCAGTCAGGTCATAGGAACAGACGTTAGTCCAGCATCCAAGCTGTCTCATTTCTCCATTGGGGTATTAGCGATCCGGTCAAATATTCCAAAGAAGCCACCATATGTGGCCTCAACATATCCATCATTTCGATTCAGAGCCAGCGGATTTCCACTATTCAAGATAATCTATTCCATATATTCTATTAGATATAGATTTCATCCTGCACCATTTCAACCATATCTCGAAATCGTTCAGATGTTTTTGTTGTGTAAGCGTGATCATTTTAGGATCACTGTAGGTTGAATATATGACGGTATCACCAGCATACGTTGCCTTAGTCGTACAGTCCGCTGCAGTGAGGTCTGCTGTATAGACTATTGTATGGGACTGGGTTAACAAAAATAAAACAAATATTATAACAGCAAATGATTTGCATTTAATCCTACATCTAACCAAGATTTTAAAATGGTGATTAGCTGGGTCGTTAGGTCGTAAGAGCAAAGATACCAGATCTGTAAAAAGGAGAAAAATAGTTTTTATAATTACACAAATTAATCAGGCATATTATAAAAGGATATTAAAAATAATTGATTTAGTTGCAGTCATTCTAGGTATATGGTACAATTCCACGTACCCTCTCTTGTTTATGATTCCGTTACCCATCCTCAAAGAAGCACCGGTGCATTGGTTTGGATTTGAAACTTGATTGATGTTGGAACATGCCCTGCCGTTGAGGTGGTTACGACGAACAGTTTCCGCAAACAGCTCATGCGCGCGACCATGGGAACAGACGTTACTCCAGCATCCAGGCTGATTCCTTCCTCCATTAGGATAGAAGTCAGCGTCGGCAATTCGGTCAAAGATCCCATAAAATCCACCATTTGTATGAATCACCTCAACGTATTGACCATCATTTCGATTCAGAGCAAGCGAGTTTCCACCCCATTGAGGCCCTGCAGGGTCCAACCCTGAAAGTAAATAACAATATCGAATTATTAATTAGTAATATCATCGACGTGATTTTATGTTAAACTCGGAAACAATTGAAATAATGGGGTTCAAGTAATAATTAAATCACCTGTTATACGCGCAGGCCGACGGTTTGCGGTACGGCCGGCATTACCGACAACGTGAGCACCTAAACTGAAGCCAACCAAGTGGACGTTGTTCCAGTTACCACCAGCATTATTAATTAACCATACGAGGAAGTTTCCGAGAAATTGTCCTACACTTGGGACGCCTCTGACGGCAGAACTATACGTGGGCCTAGCGACATTTCTCCAATCCACCACAATGACATTACAGTCTTGATTATCGAGGAAAGCAGAAGTGATAGCGGAGTTAAGTCCTGAGTTTCCATTACTGTTAAATCCGTGAACTATAACTTTCAGAGGACGATTACTCATGTAGTTGGATTGCCTTACAGAGTTTATGTTTCCATGAGTAAGAACCTCGTGGTTGTTGCGATTTTGCCTACAAAAAAAATATATTTATAAGTATCGACGATACCTTCTTCTTCATTCTTCGACGTTCTTTTTTAATATTATATGGGGCTAATGAGTAGTTGAGCTACATGGTGACAAGTGATTAGCACCGCCCAGTGACGGCGTTGATTGAATATTAGTATTAGTCAAACACAAAATACAGGTGGTTAGCTGTGTTTATTTTGAATACGAAATTTAAGCGATACCTTGATGGCAAAAATGAGGACTTCTACAAGTTCCAGACTTTGCTTAGGTATAATCAGTATGTTAAAATACAACATGACAGACACAAGTCTTATGACGGTTTAGCTGTGTTGATTTTGTATACGAAAGTTAAGTGACATCTTTATGCTAAGAATTTGCAACCTTTACGTACAAATGATCGGTATAGTAAGTGTGGTAAGGAGGTTACCTTGTAAAAAGCCAATATGCGTTATTCGCACCATTCCTCGCCTGAACCAAATCTTCTTGAGTCGGCTCATGCAAGTCTTCTAGGTGAAGAATCCCCTCATCATCAGGCATCCATATGTATCGGCTTTCACCCTCCACATAATGACTATAATTGCCAGGAACGACGGGGATTGCGCCACCAGCGCTAACTATAAGATTGACAATAACTGTAAGCTACATGGTTTATTTTGCGAAAACAACAATGTTGTATTAAAAGTTTGTAGAAAATATATTGTGTACTTACGAGCCGTTACGGCAGCCAACACTACTAAAAGTTTCATGGCCTTTGAAATACAGTTATAGAGCATGTGAAGTTGCTGCAGTAAATACATAATTAGTCTTGTAATGCATTATTTATAGTCAATATTTATCAAACAACGTTGACACATAAGGCGGTTGAGTGATAAGTTTTTGATTCCGTATTAATTTAATTTCTTTTAGGGTGTGTGATATTCATTAAATTAAAACGAATCTAGAAAATAAAAGTATATGTTTCTTTCGTTGTTTTCATTTCTTTTTTCAGACATAAAAAAAAATAGAAGCACGCCAGCAACATGGTAGGACCAGTCAGAACTTCTGGTGTAGTTTAGAATTGGCATAAGTACTTATTAGTTTAACAAGTAGATAATAAATATTCACAACATTATTTTATGTCTTAATGGTGTTTATACTAACACATACACACACAAGTATATATTTAGTTTAGTCTTTAATACCAGGTTAAATGACCTTTTTTATCTATTGTTAATATGTTTCGTGTTTAACAGAGTTCATTCAGCGTGAACTTATGTTTTAGAGGCACATTAAGAGGGCGTATAAAGCAAAATTACCAATCTTATTTTTGATTTTACATGAAAAATTCCGAACCAAATCTTAAAATAAAAATGTATGAATAACTACATGATATTTCCGAGGGTTCACTTTGATCAAAAACATGAAATAATAACATTTCCTCGATAGAAAAAATCACGAAGTAACCTCTAATTCTAATATTTTTCCGTTTTGTACTCGATATGGTAATGCCTATTGCGACAAAAATTTGATAATTAATTATACTTATACAAGAGTTAAGGCTTTGTTTAGGCATTTTATGTAATTCGTTTTAGTTTTGGATTTAGAGGATATAACAGTTTTGGCGCATACTACGTTTTTATTCCGCGCAAGAAGTCATCGTCCGTCGCACGTTGCGGGAGCTTCAAGCATATTTCTATTTCAGACATCAGTCGCTACCGCTCCGTTGAGACGAGAGGACTGCGCTCAAGTGTTTAGGCGCGCCGAGTTATTATCAATTCAATTATTAGGATAGGAGGTAATAAATTAGATATATAATAGGTAGCTATTTACTTTTGCTTTTTGTTATATTATTCTTCACAATAAAAAATTCTGATCATTTGCCCCTAGTGTAATTATGATATCTTCCAAAAGTCTAGATAGACGTATGGACTACATAATGATCTTGCGAGTATTCTATAAAAATATTAAAATAATAATAATTACATTCTCCATAATTCTATGATCACTCATAAATAACGCGGGCAGTATAGTTTGGTATAGTATATGCAAAATAAACACAAGCTTTTAGTTGGTGTCTGTGTTTGTTCGATGAAATATATTTATGTCGATTTCGAAGCTATTTGAGTATGTCCATTAGGTATTTAAAACCTATTTTTAACCGACTTCCAAAAGAAGGAGGTTATCAATTCGACTATTATGTTTTTTTTTGTGTGTTTGTTGCGCGATTACTCCATTTATTTTGATTGTTCTTTTTTTATTTGAAAAATTATACTCCTGAGGTGGTCCCATTTAAATTTGGTGAAGATCTGATGCTGGTCTTCGGAGATATACAATGGAACTCTTCAAAAATAGATGTTAAATCGGTCGTGATGGCTGCAATCGCTTGGATGTTTATATGCTTGTCAAATATTTTTATAGGATATTACAAATAAAAATGGAAAAATAAATAAAACTTTTTTGCAACAAAAAAAACCGACATCAAAATAAACACAAAAAGAAAAACACTAACAAGTGAAAAATAACTTTAGCTTCAGAAGCCGGTGACAAAAATACCAAATCAATCAAACAAAGGTCAAGCTTCAGAAGCCGGTGACAAAAACACCACATCAATCAAACAAAGGTCAAGCTTCGAAGTCGGTGGTTGTGGGCTTCGGTTTCCGCATTTAGACTCAGAGTGGTCCTTTATGCGTCGAGGATTGGTTGACTAGGTGAGCCAGCAAAGCTCCTTCGAGAAGCGCAGAAGCCTCCTGGGGCGTTCACAGGCTTCTAGGAGCGACTTTATATCAGGAATGATACTTGCCCATTGTGTGGCCATTCCCTCGCAGTCCAGGACTACGTGGACCAGGACCGTTTCTTCAGCTTCCAGACATCCCCTGCACAGGGGACTGTCCGTCGCATTGATTATGAATAGTTGTCGGTTCAGGGCTAGATGTCCTGTAATAGTTCCGACAACCATTCTGATTTCCGGTCTGCTAAGACTGATCAGTCTGCAGGTGAGTCGTGGTGTGACTTGATTCAGCACCAGTTTGGACTGTCTGCAGCCGGGTGAGTTTTTCCACCTCCGGTTGTGTGCTTCACAGGTCCGTTGCCTGACCCAGCATCGTATTTGTTTAAACGATATGGGCAGGAGTGGGGTTGGACCAGAGGTTGTGGTTGTCGAGCCCCTCCTTGCCAATTCATCTGCAGCATCGTTCCCGTGTGAGTTACTGTGCCCTTTAATCCATTGGAGGAGTACCCCATTGAATATAGCGAGCTGTTCCAGTGCTTGGTGGTATTCGAAGACAATACCAGAGGTCATTGTGTTGCCCCCCAATGCCTTTAAGACGGCCACGCTGTCTGATATTATTCGGATGTTGTAGTCCTTGATACCCCTTGACATGGCCGTTGTGGCAGCGTAAGTTATTGCCACGCATTCACCTTGAAATATGGAACTGTGTTGGCCTAACGCAAGTGATATGTTTATATTTAGGTCTTGCGAGAAAACTCCGGCTCCAGTTCCTGACCTAGTCTTGGAACCGTCCGTGTAAATTCGGACTTCGTTAATGCTGGATTGATCTCGGTCATTTCCATGTATCTGGATGTAGTATCTTCTTGTGAAGATATGGTGTTTTGGGATTCTATCGCATGGAGCTGCTATCAGTGGTTCGTATTCCACCAATTGATCCCATAATTTGGAGTGCGATCCCTCACTTTTGTGCCATAGACCCAGGTGTTTGAGTCTAATGATCGCCATGGCGGCCTCCTGCTGTATGAATAGATACAGGGGTGGCAGACCAAGAGCCACCTCCAGTGCGGTAGGCGTTGTGCGCATACAGCCAGTGACCGCGGAGCATGGGAGTCGCTGGAATTGCTGCAGTTTGTTTATGACAGTGCTTAGCTCTGTTCTCTGCCACCAGACAACAGCACCGTAAGTGATTATTGGTCTTATGACTGTCCTGTATAGCCATAAAGTAATTTTGGGCGATAGTCCCCAGCTTTTGCCGAGTAGCCGCTTGCATTGGCAGAAAATAATGCAGGCTTTATTCAGTTTTTCATCGAGGTGCTTATTCCACAGGAGTTTACTGTCCAGTATTACTCCTAGGTATTTGACCTCTTTGGTAAGAGTAAGTTGTGTTCCAAATAGCTTGGGAAGTCTGAGATTTTCTAGGCTGCGTTTGTTTGTGAACATGGTCATCTCTGTTTTGAATGGGTTCACTGTCAGGTTGTGTGCTACGCACCATTGTTCCACGATCTTCAGTGCAAGTCTCATTTGATCGCATGTAATGCTCTCAAAAGGACCGCTGATGAGAATAGTAAGATCGTCTGCATAGCCTATTGTGATTAATCTTTGGTCATTAAGTTGTGCGATGAGCTCATCCACAACAATGTTCCATAGAAGAGGGGAGAGTACACCGCCCTGGGGGCAACCTCTAGCCACCACTCCTCTAGTCACTTCGCTCACAGTGAATTGAATAGCTCTATATCTTAGCATGCTGTCGATCCACCCTGAGATTGTGGAATCAACACCATGCCTAGACAGAGCTTGGCTAATGCTGGTGAAGTTGGTCTTGTCAAAGGCTCCCTCGATATCGATAAAGGTGGCCAGTGTTGACCTTTTATGATTTAGATTGTCTTCTATATATGAAACAACTCGATGTAGGGCAGATTCTGTTGATTTACCCATCGAGTATGCGTGTTGATTGAGGTGTAGAGGGTGACTGACTAACGCAGTTTCCCTGATTTCCCTATCTATTAGCCTCTCGAGAACCTTTAGTAGGAAAGATGTGAGACTAATAGGTCGGTGTGATTTGGGTTGTGTGTAGTCACCTTTACCAGGTTTGGGTATGAAGACTACTTTAACTTCTCTCCATTTCAAGGGGATGTACTGATGCGCCAGGCAGCCCCTATAAATTTTTACAAGATGGTCCAGTAGTGTCATATCACACCATCTCAGTAGGCCTGGGAAGACACCATCTAGTCCTGGCGCCTTGAATGGTAGGAAGCTGTTAATTGCCCATCTTAGTTTCTCATGGTTGACAACTTTGCGGGCCGTATCCCAGTCTGTATCATCTGGTGGTTTTTCCATTCTGTCTTTCCATTTTTCCAGCACATCTGATATGCGACATCCAGGGAAGTGTGTTTTTAATAACAGCTCTGAGGCTTCCGAGTCTGTTTTGGTATACTCACCATCAGGCTTCTTCAGGCAGCCAAGATTGTGTTCGCCTCTACTACACAGTATGTTTTTGACTCTATTAGCCTGGTTGTTGTTCTCTATGTTAGTACAGAAGTTTCTCCAGCACTCAGTTTTCCTGGTTCTGATTCTCTTCTTATATTGTTGTCGGGCCTGCGTGTAGGCATCCCAATGTTGGTCTAATCGCGAGTTTTTTGCTTTATTGAACAACTTTCTCACTTTACGACGTAGTCTTTCCAGTTCCGGACCCCACCATTGGTGTTTGTTCTGTGGTCCAGTTCTGGGTGTGGAAAGTGGGCATGTTTGTTCAAAGCAATCGATCAGTGTCTGTGTTAGGGTGACAACATGACTGTCAATGTCCTTAACAGTCCCAGTAGCGTATGTTGGGTTGATGCTTCGCAGTTTCTCCGCAGTAAGATGTTCATACCGTTTCCGGTCCATCGTGCGGGGATTCCGTCGGAAATCGGGTAGTTTAAGTTTCATTTCAAAGTTAAATTTGATGCGACGGTCCAGCGATGGTCTGAGCACGATGCTTCGTTCGAAACATGCCAGTTCGATATGTGTTGCGATGCGTGCTCACTTGCTAATGTAAGATCAATTATAGTTTGGGCCCTGGATGTGACAAATGTCGGCTCCGAGCCCACGTTGATAATGTTAAGGTTAGTTGATAATAGGAACGATTCGAAGTCGGTGACAAAAGCACTAAATCTATCAAACAAAGGTTCCTTGTATGACGCGGCAAATCTTTAAAAAACCTGAAGAGAAATAAATAAATATGTAGTGGGCCCTTAAACATATCAAGTGACCAACCCGGTCTGAGCAGTACTGCTTCTGAAAGATTTATAATTGAAGGAGACCGAGACCAAGCCGGTCCGAGCAGTACTGCTTCTGAAATATTTATAATTGAAGGAGACCGAGATCTCGTTAGTTCAAATAATTTTGCAGCTGGACCCCATAGCCCTTTATTACAAGAAAATATTATACCAATTACGGAATATTGATAAGAAAGACGCGATTGAATATGATTTTTATTATGATTTTTTATTGATTGATATTTGAAATGATTGATTGATTGAATATTTGAAATAAATATAATATTATTTTTTGGTATTGATTTTTTATTGATTCGTGTTCAGTATCAGTGGTATAGTCACCTCCTACTAACTTACTATTTACGTATTATTCGTGTACACAAAACATTTCGTAATATTGTATAACGCAGTCATACTTTGAATACAGTTGTTTCATCTGATTATTATACGTATACTACAGAAGATACGCGTCGAGCGAGCGCGTAGGTACACGCGCGATCGTTTTCGATGTGAGGGGAGCGGGCAGGGGAGCGCGGGTGAATTCTTAAATTTTGCTGGCTTTATACGCGCTCTTAAGCACCAAAGCGTTCTACTATTAAAGACAGAGGTGATTCCACTAAAACAATTAATACAATTGTTTTGTTTAGTATGGAGTGGGCCCCGATCTGTCGGACGCCCAATTCGGTTTTCGAGCGGGGCGTTCGATGGTCGACGCTGTGTCCTTGCGCCTTAGGACCGTGACCGAAGAGACCGTGAACGCATTCCATAGTCTGCCATTCAGCTGCATCAGGGAAGCACTTCACTATCATGGGGTGTCAGAGTACCTGAGTCGGCTGGTGGCAGACTACTTAGAGGAGCGTACCGTCATGGACGAGAACCAAGGTGGTGCTTTGAGGCGTCGGCCCATGTCGTGCGGTGTTCGTTCAGCACGGCTTCAGAAAGGACCGCAGCACGTACGGTAATAGTCGGAGTCGCGGGGGAAGAGGCTTTTGGTGACCCAAATGTGCGGACCGGATCAGTGTATGGGTCTAATGTTGCAAACAGGTGCCAGTTTTATGTGTGTGCTGATGATATGTACTTATTGTGTATATAAGGAACTGTCTGAGGCTCAAGAGAATTTTCAATATTACTGAGAGAATTAAAATGGCGGTAATTGCCTTATTCACGCTCAAAAAGTTGTACGCAAAAGCATCCTTTTGACTTGCCCGCAAAAGATTGCATCGTTCGAGATCTCATATTTAATATTAATTAAAAGACGTTGGAAAAAACATTACCAATGTTTGATATATATGTATAAGTGTTTAAAAGTTGAGTTTTTATTTAGTATGTAATTTAATATTGTTAAGTTTCGTTTCTTTAATTTTGACATTATTTTGATCACATCTCTCTTTTTGTTTTATTTAGTAATATTATTGTACATATCAACTTATCGCATTAAGCATGAAAAATATATATTTAGTTACTTACACAAAACAACACGGTGTTAATAACCTCATTTTTATCACAGTCGTATAATTTTTTTTGGCGAACTGTACTCACAATACGTTAACTCATGTTAAGAATAGCAGATTAAACAAAATAGGATGAATTAGAAAAGAAAAAAATTAAAAAATCCTGGTATGAAGGTGGAATAAAAACTGGTATGAGTTAAAAAAATGATGTAGTTTTTCTTTTTAAATAAAATTATTCTGCCTGGACACCTGCCTCTGCCATTGCACGCCCCCTAGATCGATTTTGGGCTTCTCGCATCCAGCTCCTGCCAGCCATACAAATCGTCACCCCACCTGTTCTACGGGCATTACGTTTGCCGAGACCACTCAAGAACTCAATTTCCCCAACGGTTGTCGGTTCTTAATGGAGACCCCTAAGTCCAGCCCTACCTGTATAAATTTCAACTTGCCTCAAAGGCATATTTTAAATAAAAAACTACAACTTAAAAAAAATTAGAGTTGATAAATTTACTACCATTTAGCTAGGTCTTCGATAACGCATTCAGCTTAGTGTGAACAAACGTCAATGTGTCTTAAGGACTTTTGTTAGTTGACAGTCGTAAATATATATATTGCAAACACAACCACGTCCTATCCGCGTTACAGTTTTACACCTGTTACACTAACAAATGTATTATTTTTGTTGTAATTATTGTCGTAAACTTTAGTTGGTTTCTAACATAAATAAGAACGATGACTCTTTTTTCTCAACCCGTTATAAAATATGTTCCGGTATATTTTACAAGTGAAAAGTACATTGTAAAATATCTGCCTAGGTAATTTCAAGTAATTGTAAATTTACCTATGTAATGAAATAAAACAACAGATATATGACCATTTATAATTCTGTGTACTTCTGAACATGAGAAATGTCTATAGCGATAAATTTGGAAATTTAATTAGATCTTCTTTTTAATAAAATATACCAGCAATGTGTGTTACACATTCAAGCTGGGACTACTCGTTCATAACTAGACCACACTATCGCTGCTTAAGTTGCTATCTATACATCTTCTATACAAATAAATAAAATTGAAAGTGTCGGTTTGTAATGTCAAAATAATAGGTTTCTTCATGCTCACACGATTACTTACACGATACCTTTGCCTAAAATCCAGTTTTTTTGTCTGTCTGTCTGTTTACTTTTGATTTTGATGATATTTTACTAGGAGATAGCATTCTATATAAAGAGTAATTAGGCTATTTTTCCTCTCAGCAAAAACCTATAAAATTTTGCCCGGTCCGGGAATCGAACCTACTAAGGCGACGCTTTTCAAATTCCAAAGAAAGAAGTCGCCGGTACCAGCTAGTTTTAGAATAATATTTTTGTATTCACAAAAACAAAAATTGTTAATGGTTCATGGTACCCACGGAATCTACTGTTCCACTCTAAGATATGACAAAACCTTTGTGTAATAAATTGAATACAACACAGTGACAATTGTAACGCACAATGTTATGATGTTTAGTGTAAAATGTTGTTCAGCTATTATAGAAGAAGCTAGCGAAATTTATGTATTTCCGCTGCTAGACCTTTTAAGCAACTTATGAACAATTCGCAGTGAATGGCTAAGTGAAATATTAATGTTGCTATCTACATTTACAACTCTACTAAATAGCACTATGTAAAACAAACCTGTTTACATGGAACTATAGTTTAGTTTACCTTTTTTTTCTGACGGATCAAATTCTAAAGTCTACAAAGTCGTGAGCAAAAGCTAGTGCTCTGTAAAGTTAAAGTTTACTGTTCTATGAATGAGTACACTAAAGTAATAAAGTCCAATATTATTGCATGGCATTGTTCTTCGATGTAAGTAAATAATGGCTTAATAAAATATCAAATGTTTTTTATTTCATAATTCAACATCTACCAAGTTCTTAAAATGGAGCCGAGTTGCGCGTTGTAAGGGCGAAGATTCCAGATCTGTAAATATTAGAATGATTTTAATAATATTTTTATGATTACATGGCATACTCAGGAACATTGTTAAAGAAAAATTTAAATGTACACATTAAACTAAGTTAAATTAAAAATAACTATTTCAGTCGAAGTAAAATTTAGGTAAATTCTTTGCCATTGGTACACACTTTTTAATTTTACGTACCCTCTTTTGTTCACAACTGCATTACCCATCCTCAGAGTGGCGCCAGTGCATTGGTTTGGATTTGAAACTTGATTGATGTTAGAACATGCCCTCCCGTTAAGGTGGTTGTAACGAACAGTTGAAGCAAATATTTCAAAAGCGCGGCCATGGGAACAGACGTTAGTCCAGCATCCGGGCTGACGCCTTCCTCCATTAGGGTAGAAGTCAGCGTCAGCACTCCGGTCAAAGATCCCATAACGTCCACCATTTGTGTGAATTGCTTCAACGTATTGACCATCATTTCGATTCAGAGCAACTGCGTTTAAGCCCCATTGAGGACCAGCAGGATCCAGTCCTGAAAGCAAATACAATGTCGAATTAATATTAATATCGATGTCATTTTGTCGTAAACTTAGAAACAAATGAAATATTGGAATGAAAGAAATAAGGAAATCACCTGTGATACGAGACGGTAAACGGTTTGCAGTACGGCCGGCATTACCGACAACGTGAGCACCCAAACTGAAGCCAACCAAGTGGACGTTGTTCCAGTTACCACCCGCATTATTAATTAACCATACGAGGAAATTTCCAAGAAACTGTCCTACACTTGGAACAATTCTGACGGCAGAGGTGTATGTGGGCCTAGCGCCCCTACTCCAATCCACCACAATGACGTTACAGTCTTGATTATCGAGGAAAGCAGAAGTGAGCAAAGGATTTATGTCGGAGTTTCCACTACTTATAAATCCGTGAACTATAACCTTCAGAGGACGATTACTCATGTAATTGGATTGTCTTATAGAGTTTATGTTTCCATGGGTAAGAACCTGGTGGTTATTGCGATTTTGCCTGAAAAAAACCATTAATTTCTGTAAGTATCGACAATCTCTACTTTAAATTAAATATAAAACTTTCTTTAGAGGGCTACGATTTGATCTATCCTATTTGGAGCATCAGTATAAATTAATGATAGTGGATTTATATAAAGTTACAAACCTAATTTTTATTGTTAGTAATAGAAAAACTAGATTTAGCGTTATGTACTTTATTTTGGAACTGTTATTATCAATCGAAACTAGTAATTTCGAGTTTTACAGGAAGATAATTCTACAAGAATAAATCGACACTGGCAATTTTGCTACCGTTTGATAAATAATAATAATATATCGGATTTGATACTCTTAATTTTTTTTTGGCAGAATGCGCCAAAAACAATCAAGAGTATCAAATCCGATATATTTCGTTGCAGACATTTTAGGATAAGTGACAAAACTAACAGCATTCTAAATTAAGAAATGTTTGTGATGTGTAAGTCTTTTAACAAAAGTACTGGTAGTAGATGACACAGTGATAGTTTTAATAAGTGTTCATGTCGCGAATCAGCTGCAACGTGTCGGATATACGTATAATGTACCTGAAATACCTTACGTTGTGATAAAGATATGCTTTTCTAAGCTGAAAACAGTTTTGAGACTTTAAGACAGGATTTTGAATTCCATAATCAATTAGTTTTTTCTTTTTTTTTATGTTAGAGGGGGCAGGCGATCAGACGGGTCACCTGATGGAAAGTGACCATTGCCGTCCACGAACGTCTGCAACTCAGGAGTCACAAACGCGTTGCCGGCCTTTTAGGAAGGAGTACGCTCTTTTCTTGAAGGTTTGAAGGTCGTATCGATGATGATACCACAGATGATAACCCGTTCCAAAGATTGGTTGTGCGGGGCAAAAGTTGTCTCGAAAAGCTCACAGTAGTGGAGCGCCAACTATCCAGGTAATAAGGATGAAAATTTTGCCGTGTGGAACGATGGCGGAAATTTGCGGCTGGTATTAGTCCGAACAATTCCTCGGAGCACTCTCCATGATATATGCGATAGAGAATGCAGAGTGAAGCTACATCTCTACGTAACGCCAACGAATCGAGCCGGTCGCAAATCTTTTGGCTATTGACGATTTGAGTCGCTCTTCGTTGGAAGTGGTCCAGAGGGAGAAGCTGGTACTGAGGTACACCTGCATAGAGATGAGAACAGTATTCCATATGCGGCCGAACTTGTGCCTTATAGAGCTGAAGGCCAGAGTGAAATACAGCCTCGATCTGTTCACCACACCGAGCTTCTTCGAGGCCAATTTGACCTTACCCTCTAAGTGACCCCGAAACTGAACTTCGCTCGATATGTCGATGCCTAGAATTCTGATGCTGGCTGAGGTAGTTAGGTTAGGTTACTTAGCCATTGAGACGGAGCCCGCACCAGGAGCGGGCCGGCGCTGGGAGGGGTCCAGAAGGAGATAACAATCTGGACCCCCCCTAAAATGGAATCGCAAACAGGGCACACCGTGTGGTTTTAGTCGGTTCGAGTCCGACACACCGCCCCGCCGAATAGAGAACCCCGGCGGGGTGAGGGTCGAGGGGATTTCCACACGTTACAAAAAAAAAAAGAAAAAGGTTAGTTAGCTATCAAACTGAGGTAATACGACAAATGGTATCTTTTTTGCGGTGAACGCGCAAACCTTCTTCTTTGGGTTAAAATGGACTAGATTTAGTCGGCCCCAATCTGAAACCTCCGCTAAGGAAGTTTCAATTTCAGACACAAGTTTGTTACGACTCTTGATTACGTTTTCCCGAGAAATGTTGGGGCGGCCGGTATAAAGGGCATCTCTTGTGCTATCACCTGCATAGCAATGGATGCTACTAGTTTGCAACATGTCATTGATATGCAGAAGCAACAGTGTGGGTGATAGCAAACAGCCTTGTGGGACACCAGCATTTACGAATTTCAAGTCGGAGCATGCACCGTCGACAACGACCTTAATGCTTCTGTTCGCAAGGAAGCTGTTGACCCAATTACACAATTTCTCGGAGAGCCCAAAGGAAGGGAGCTTCGAGAGAAGCGCCTTATGCCAGACCCGATCAAAGGCCTTCGCTATGTCCAAACTAACCGCACAAGCCTCTCCTTTGGTCTCGATCGCCTGTACCCACCGGTGTGTTAGAAAGACGAGAAGATCACCAGCTGACCACCACGGCGAAAACCATATTGTCGGTCATTGAGTAGCTGGTGATAATCTAAGTACCTAAGGAGCTGGCCGTTTATTATGGATTCCATAATCTTAGAGAACAAAGGAGTTAGGGCTATAGGCCTAATTAGTTAAACGGGTCGGGTTAAAATAGTTAAACGGGTCAGAGCGGTCACCTTTTTTAGGGATCGGGTGCACAAACGCTACCTTCCAGGAGTTCGGGACGACGCTTTGGGAGTAGGAGAGACGAAAAAGGTGCGTTAAAACCGGTGCCAACTCCGGAGCACACGTCTTCAACACGATAGGTGAGATTCCATCGGGCCCACACGACTTATGAATGTCAATTGAAAAGAGTGCTTTACGCACTGATTTTTGTGTGAACCGGATATCCGGCATATAGCTCTGGCACCGCGGTGTGGTCGGCGGTACGTTTCCCCCGTTATCCAAAGTCGAGTTGGATGTAAAGAGTTTGCCTGGGAGATCGTCTTTCTCTTTGGCATCATAGGCCAGCGAATTATCTCCCATCTGCAGGAGTGGAAAGGATTAGCTACAGAAATTCCCATGTACAGCCTTGGCAAGAGACCAGAATGCACGAGTTCCAGAAGGAAGTCTCACTAGTCTCTCACCGATTCAACTGATGTGCTTCAATTTCGCCCTAGCAATGGCTCTTTTAAGGGACCTGGAGGCAAAGTTATATTTTTTCTACATTTACGTATTTACATCGCCTGCCGTTGCTGTATTTGCCCATGCTTGGTAGCATTCCCGCTTTCGGCGGGACGCCGTTTTGCAGGATCTGTCGAACCAGGGCTTGGATCTGCCACCGAAGGGAATTAATGTAGAAGGAACGAATAGTTCCATGCCCTGAAGTACTACATCAGTGACAGAATCGGCAACGACGGTGGGATCATCCGGCAAGAAACAGATCTGCCTCCATAGGTAGGACGCAAAGAAGGAACGCATCCCATCCCAGTCCGCTGACCTATAGTGCCACACACAACTCGCGGCCGCGGCAGGTACGTGAGTGGCACTGTACTGCGGATTAGACAATGATCCGAGGAGCCAAGTGGGACTTCAACGGCGATTTTGTAACCGTCCGGATCGGACTTATAATAATATTATTTTCGGAAATTGACACACAACGCCATCTAGTTTCAAATTAAGCAGAGATTGTACTATGAAAGCTAGATTGACTGATAGAATACTTATTTACTTTTTTTTGTAAATACATACATATTATATATAGAAAACACCCAAAGTCCAAAACAAATATTTGCAACTCATACAAACATTTGATCCGACCCAGGAATCGAACCCGAGACCTCAGCACAGTAATCGCATATGCTACCACTGAGGCAGTCAAGGCTAAACGAGCAAACGGGTCACCTGATGATCAGTAACTACTGCCACCTATGCACATCTGTAACTCAAGAGTCACAAGACGGAAGCGAGAAGGTAATAATATAATAATATAATATACCTCACACAAATCACACACGGCCGTCTGATCCCAAACTAGGCAGAGCCTGCACTATGTTAACCAGACTGCTGATAAACATACTTATATATTTCTAAATAAATACATATTGTATATTAATTACACCCAGACACAGAACAAATAATCATGCTCATCACAGAATATTTGTCATGGATGGGAATCGACCCCCGGGGCTTCCGGCTTAACAGTCAGGCCGACGGGCCTGTTGATCAAGTGGTTAGTGACTAACCACTTGATCAACAGGCCCGTCGATGTGACTGCTTAAACCGGTTTACTTATCACCGGTTTTCTCTGAGGCTGAGGTATCACTCCATTTGAGCCTGCCCATTTATGCCGAAGCATAGCTGTCCCACGCATGACGGTTATATTAAAATAATCATAAACTATATCTGTGTAATAAGAAGAACCTTGTAAAAAGCCAGTATGCGTTGTTGGCACCACTCCTAGCTTGAACCAAATCATCTTGTGCCGGCTCGTGCAAGTCTATTAGTTGAGGAATACCCTCACCATCGGGCATCCAGATGTAGCGGCTTTCACCCTCCACATAGTGACTATTATCTCCCGGAACGACGGGAATTGCGCTACCAGCGCATACTGTTAAATAGAAAAGAACTTTAAAATGTATTGTTTCTTTTCTCGAAACATCAATACTTCATAAAAGGTATAGTTTAAAATGTGTTTCGTACTTACGAGCCGTTACGGCAGCCAACACTACTAAAAGTTTCATGGCCTTTGAGATACAGTTTCAGAACTTGTGAAGTTACTAAAGTGAATACATAATTACCCTCATAATGCCTTATTTATAGTAAATATTTATCAAAGATATCACTCAAATTAATTTCGTATCAATTTTGACACTTAATTCCCTCTAGTGATAGTCTTTTAATAACGTATTAATATTATTTTACACATCGTATACGTGTTCCGTATATATTTTCATTTTTGTTTTCAGCGTGCTTTAGATATTCAGTAAATTGAAAAGAATTAATCATAATTACAAATCTAAATAAAAAAACTATAATAAGTACCCTCAATACAATAGGTAACATTATAATAGCAATAGTCCCTTCTAGTCTGTTTGAAGTCGGTGCCAAGCCAAATAGATGCTTGATAGGCCTGGTAGGTTGTTGCGAGGATGATAGTTGATAAGTTTGCGCACGTAATTGATCTGGTTGGTCTTTATTAATAAACAAAATCTGCGATGTTTCATTTGAATTATATCAATCAATCATTTGAAAAGCTGACATAGACCAACATTACTTATTGTGCATCGGGCGTAGCAACGACTTCAAACAGACTAGAAAGGACAATTGCTATTAAGCTATTGCATAGCTTCTATCGCGGGCCTTGAGCGTGGAGACCGAATCCAGAAATTCCGTAACGAAAATAACCTAACACCCGCCACTCCGACCGGCACAGCGGTGATACTTTTTAGTTTTGCCATCTATCGATGAATAGCAGAACTTTTAATGACTTTTTTTGAAATATTATGCTTGTCTCTTTAGTTCAGCAACTCGCCTCTAGGTGGCATTGGTTGTGACGCGGTATTTTCCAGATATTTAGAAGATATCAAGTCTCAAACTTATGTTTCTTATTTCAGTCACCATAAACCTAGTTTCAATGATAAATATTCCTGAATAACCTACATGTATTGTAAGATAATAAAAATATTTTAAACAATATTAACTTCTCATTTATTTAATAAAAGAAAAAAAAAGTTTTCTTATCGGTCACCAAAAAGTGTAACTTGAATTAATATCAAAGAAAAAAAAAAAGGAAAAAAAATACTGCATAAATAAAATAAATAAAAAATTATTATTGCATAACTTGATGAAAAATAGTTTTACCGCGGCAGTCCTCGAGTGCCACACGTCTTCTTATAATGTTACCTGTCGTATTGAGGGTACTTATTTTAGTTTTACTTAGATTTGCAATTATTTTTTAATATTTAGTGCTCTTTGTCAGTATTGTTTGAAGTCGGATCAACTTTTTTAAAGGGATTTATTTTACCATTTTTAGTGTAAGATATGTTTGTAATGAGTAGATAAGTACGATATTTAAAACACTATATACCGTAATGTATAGTACCATACTGTAATCTATTAGATTATACTGGGTCTATCAATTGGGATGATCTGGTATTGACAGCTCATAGCGGCCATGTTTGATGATGGATCTTTGACGTCTTTTAACATTTGTGTTCAGTAAGGTTTGCCATTTTATCATGTCACGTTTCACTTTAAACCAAAGGTTGGAAATTGTCCAAAATTATTACGCAAATTCGCGTTCTCCTACCGCTACAGTAAGAGCGCTTCGCGCAAAAAACGGTCGTCATAGTGCTCCTTCTGTGCGCGCTATAAATCGCATAATAACAAAATTTGAAAGTGACTCACTGTCCACGATACTGCTGTGCCGGTGAGACAAAGAAGTGCCCGTAGTGAAGAGAATATCGCAGCCGTTCAACACTGGCCGTATTGATGCGAATTCAAATCGATCAGTTCAACGCCGTTCACAAGAGTTGGGGCTCTCTCCAATGACCACCTGGCTTATTTTGCGGTTGGATTTGGGCCTACACCCATACAAAATTGTTTTGGCACAAGAATTGAAGCCATCCGACCATTGTATCCGTCGTGAATTTGCCGATTATGCACTGGAAATGATGGAAGCCGATGACGATTTTCATCGCAAAATCATCTTCTCAGATGAGGCCCTTTTCTGGCTCAATGGATTTGTTAATAAACAAAATTGTCGCTATTGGAGTGAGTTAAATCTACGTGTGGTTCATGAATTACCATTGCGTCCGCAAAAAAATAAGAGTTTGGTGCGGTTTATGGTACGGTGGAATCATTGGTCCATACTTCTTTGAAAGTGACGAAGGAAACCCTGTTACTGTGAATGGCGAGCGCTATAACTCGATGTTAACCGAACATTTCTTTCCGGAATTTGATGACATTGCATCTATGTTTACCAACCTTTATTTTCAACAAGACGGTGCACCACCTCACATTACTCGAGTGAACATGAAATTATTGCGTGGAAGTTTGGTGAGTCGTTAATTTCGAGAAATGGACCGATCAGTTGGCCACCAAGATCGTGTGATTTGACACCTTTGTGTCAGCCTTGGTCAGCGCTATTATCACCCAAATTACATGGTCTAATTTTTGGTGAAAATTGTTGGTTACAGTTTGAGCGATTAAACCATTGCTAGAACTATGCTCTTCTTTAGTTTGACTCGATCCCATTCTACTTAGCTGTAGATGCGCGTTTACTAGAAGTACGTATAGTAATGACATATAAATTCAAATAATTTTAATATTCATTGCTTATAAAATATGCCTACTTGCTATTTTTCTAGTCCACATACATTATGTTATAAAGTTGTCAAAGTTACGAAATAAAATTTAATTGTCATATAATATTTTATATTAATTGATCAAAATAAGGTTGTTTATTGCACGAACATAAACGTGTCGCAATAATGTATGACAAATTTGTACGATTATTTCGTAATCGCTATACTGCACATTATGCAAAACGTAGCGGTGTTTTGATAATGCGGCCACTTCGCGTTGTTTTCTGATGTACAACTTTGCTAGAAGTGTCCTCATTATAGTTTGAATTAAAATTGCATTTATTTGTAATATTATCATTATTGTTAGAACTAAGATTCTCACTATAGTTATTATGATCTATTATATAGGCTGGTTTCAGTCTGTCTATAGATATACATGTTTGCTTATCACCTATCTTAATAATAAAAGTCTTTCCTTGTGTCTTAATAACATTATATGGACCGTCATAGGGTGGTTGAAGTGACTTTCTCATAAGATCATTTCTCACAAACACACTTTTACACGTATTTAGACCACTGGATACAAATAATGATCGTGAGTTACCATGACTGGCTGGTCGTGGTTTTATTTTATTTATGGCATCCCTAAGCAATTGTAAAGATTCCGAGTCTGACGTACGTATTTTCGTTTCGTCCGAATTGTTCTACCGTAATTTAATTCCGCTGCGCTCACGCCGCTATCGCTTCTAACAACTGCACGCAATCCTAATAACGCGATTGGAAGTTCGTCAACCTAATTCTTGTTGCATTGTAAACGTGCCATAAGTGCCACTTTCAGTGCTCTATGCCAACGTTCTATCATGCCGTTGCTTTGGGGATGATAAGGGGTTGTGCGTAATTTATTTATACCCAAATACTTCATAAGGTTATTAAATAGGTCACTCTCGAATTGTCTACCCTGGTCACTTGTAAGCTTTAAAGGACACCCAAATCGAGAGATCCAGTACTCAAATACTACTCTAGCCACGGTCTCGGCTGTGATATTTTGAAATTTTAGGGTAAGGGTTTGACCACTTTAGAGGTTATCTAATATAGTGAATACCCTAATTAATCTTGGGACAATTAAATGAAAGGTATACACGTGTTCACGTAAACTGGTTTAATTCTCGACTGTTAACGGCGGGCGCAGCCGCCTCTAGGTAAGCATATTTTGCTTAAGCTAACTGAAATGTACACTTACATATTACAGAAAAGTAAGTAGGTGAGATACGTTGTGTCCCTACACAAATAAAAAAAAACACTTTTTGGAATCTGTTTACAAATGGAAGAGTTTTGAGGTAACAAACATGAAAATAATTGCGTAGCAAACTTTATTTTGTCTAAATGTTTTGTAATCTCTCTTTTGTGCACATATCTCTGTAACACAACATACACACCTAACAAATATCTTGAAAGAAATAAATAAGGTCAATACAAGATTAGATTTTTGAAAGAGTTATTCTCTAACACCTAAAGGTCAAGGACCCCTACATCATCAGCTCAGCAACATAACATAACGACTACTAAACGCAAATACCTTTATAGCTAGATAAAAGAGCTAAAACACGTTGTCGGGCCTGTAAATTTTGAGGGTTTTCTCGATTTCTGTAGGATCCCAGAATCAAATCCTGATTCGGTGGTAATGGACTACGTCGGGAGTATTTATACCCTTTCGATTACAAAATTATTTTGCAAATCGGTACACAATTGACGGATATACCGCATAAGAAACATACAGAAAAAATACACACGCATTGGTAACCTCCTCTTTTGTGTTTTTGAAGTTGATTAAAAATATAAATGTGTCCAGCAATATCCACTTCAGACAAAAATATGGTTAGAGCGGATATCTAAATAAAAACTGTCCAAGCCTTGCTACAGAGGATACGTTTTACAGTGTGATTGGCGTAAAATACTCCTATATCTACCGACCGATCCAACAACTTCCTTTAGGTAAAGGGTATTTTTAGAATAATAAAATAAAGTTAACGAAATAAAATATGATTATGTTTCTGCATCGTCACATATCGTGTAACTATACTGTATCTATATGCTTGGTTTCTTTATTTTAAACGTTTTTTCATTATATTCCTATAAGACGGATCTATTTTATTGTTGTTTAATTTATTTTATTGTTAATCTATAGAAAACCTGTTTATTTAGAAAAATTGTAGAAAAATCTCATCATTAGGGACCAAAACACCCGAAGTTTTTTTTTTTGTTAACGGGGTGGAAAATACCTTCGGATCTCCAGCTCCGGGGGGATGTAGGAGCCATGTGGTGTTTCCACTAAAAACCACCCGACGGCCAAACTCAGGCGCCCTACTCCGAGGAGGACCCGGACCCTGTTATTTCAGGTCCCCCCGAATCGACGCCGCGCTTAGCCAGGCCCTATCCCGGGGAAGGAAGGCTATCCTTATGATAATGATCGCATTTTTGCGACCAAGCCGCCATCCTATCGCCTACCGCAGCAGTTAATCTGCCACCAGAGGTCCCCACTCTCTTTCAGCCTGCGGCCCCGTCGACGGCTGATAGCGCCGTCGACGTCCTCTACGCTCGGGATCGGCCCTCTCCCGATCCCGTTCAGCGGTCTCTTTCTGTGAAGCTGTAATGCTTCAGAAAGAGACTGCGCCCCATCCCTCCTCACCCACCAGATCTCGTTCGATTTGGTCGACCAGGACCTCGCAATCAGACGCCTATGCGGGGCAGTCTTTCAGCGTATGCTGGGCGGAGTCCCAGTCGGCTCCGCAGTGCTGGCATTGTGCCGTCTCCTCGCGTCCAATCCGATTCAGGTACACACCGAAGCAACCATGCCCAGTGGGTACCTGCGTCAGTCGGTAGGTGACGCGACCTCCCTCCCTACCTACCCAAGCTTCGAGGCTAGGCAGAACGGCACCGACAGTGCGTTGGCGCGCATTCTGCGGCTGTTCCAGCCGCGCGCGCCACTGCACCAGTGCCTGTCGGTGAGCGTTCCGCCGCATTTCGAGCTCGTCCTGGTCTTCCCCACCCTCACCCCGGCGGATCGCGCAAGCCTGGTCATAGACTCTCACATATATAGCCGCCAGGATATCAAAAGGTGGGAAACGTACCAGGACTGTCGCTGCCTCCGACGAGATTGTGCGGTAATCTCGTACGATCCTAATGTCCGCTACCCGCTGCTCTTGATTCAGCTTAGCTCGGCAGCGGGAGGAGGCCGATAGGCGCTTGGCCCATATCGACGCTCCGTAGAGGGCCATGGATCGTATCACCGCACAGTAGGGGCGGCGAACTGCCTCCCGCGGACCCCCTAGATTAGGCGATAGCCTCTGTAGGGAGCCCACCACCCCGCGAACTTGGGGGATCATCCGCTCGAAATGCTCCTCGAAGCTCCAGCGGCTTTTAAGGTCGGGCGGTACATCAAATACCTCGGGTTCCCCCCACTTTAATAAGCGTGCTGGTGGGAACTGCACCTCTGCGTTTCCTGTGAAACCACAGGGCTTCCGTCTTATGAGGTGCAACCCTTAGACCCAGTCCGCTGATCCGTTGGACGACACAAGCCACCCCTAACCAGGCGAGCTCAAGAACTTCCTAGAAGCCATGCCCCCCAGCTAGTATCAGAGTGTCGTCCGCGTACCAGACGATACTCAATCTTGGGGGAAAGCTAGTCCTCAGGACGGCGTCATACGCGAGGTTCCACAGAAGAGGTCCTAGGACCGACCCCTGGGGAACACCGCATGTGACCTCCTTTCGAGTCTTCGTCAACCCGACCCATATACGATATGGACCTGTCCCGGAGATAAGCCCCGGTGATGTCCCACAGGTAGGGAGGAATTCATTAAATGTAGAAAATTCTAAAAGAAAAATATTTTAGTTACATTGAAATAATGGAATTTACGTGGTTATAAGAATATCCAATTGCAACTTTATTAACTAATGTGGATTTTAGATTTTCATTCGCATTGTTGCGCCATAAGATTAAATGCTTCGATTGTTCCAGAATTGTATGGAATGTGGAGGACAGCGCCATCTAGTATCACGTAAAGTACAACTATTGAGATTGTGATTAATAATTCTGATATTAATCACAATCTCAATAGTTTCTGACTTATAGCGTTAGATGGCGCAGCAAGTAACGCGTAACTGATACTAGAATATTCTTATTTATCTTTAACGGACTATCGAATACTAGGGATCATTCAATATATTATATACCTATTAGACTGCACGAATAGCGTAGTGATTTAAGCGGTCATCTAGGACCACCTAGGATCACCACATAGGACAACAATTTATGCGATACTTAAATTGTTGCTATGAATCTTGTTGTGTCCGTTTCATGTATGTTTATAAAGTCCCCGCGAAGTTCTATGAAGGAATACAGTAACGTACTAAAGTCCAATTTCAGTGCATGTTACTATTTTTCGATGTAAGTAAATAATGGGTAAATAGAATAAAACAAGTATGCTATAGCATCAAATGATTTGCATTTCTTAATTCAGCGTACATACAGCCATTTAAAATGGAAATGATCTGCCGGTCGTAAGGGCGAAGATACCAGATCTGTAAAACAAAAAATATAAAATAAATAAATTATTACTCAATAATTTCATTAAACAAAAGTAACTGTTTAGCTGTAGCCGTTCAAGTGAAATTATATTTTATCCTTTTTTTAACGCTGGTAAAATTCTACGCACCCTCTTTTATTAACAATTCCGTTACCCATCCTCAGAGTGGCACCTGTGCATTGGTTTGGATTTGAAACTTGATTAATATTAGAACAAGCCCTGCCGTTGAGATGGTTGTTGCGAATAGTTGCCGCAAATAGTTCATATGCACGACTATGGGAACAGGTGCTTATCCAGCAACCAGGCTGAGGGTTTCTTCCTCCATTGGGGTAGAAATCAGAGTCGGCAATCCGGTCGAAGATACCAAGAAGTCCACCATCAGTATGAATTGTCTCAACGTATTGACCGTCATTTCGGTTCAAAGCATTCGAGTTTCCGCCCCATTGAGGACCAGCGGGGTCCAGTCCTGTAAGTATATAACAATGATAAATATTTACAACATTTACACTGTTTACATAAAAGCATCATAAAATTCCTCCGCATCGCCGCCTACTTGTAGCGTTCCCAGAAGACTGGCAGCATTGCCGCGTTTAATGGCAAAGCTAATTCTAATGTAGCAGAAGCGCTGGCCGTATATCTCGACATGCCAATATTAAGGACATTATCCGTCGTGCTCTTGTTACCGCCGGTGTTCCAGCTGTACGTGAACCCAATAGTCTAGTACGAGACGATGGGTAGGCCTTTGGTGTGAGAGGCAACTAGCGACGAAACCCTTGCGCCATCACATCTTCCAAGCACAGGTGGTTATGGCAGCGCTGCTGCTGCATTCGCAGAAACCGAAATACCAAAATACATTTTGAACCGTTTGGGGTCCGAGTGCTAGTACTATATAAATCGCTCATATCGTAATAAATCCTAAATTAATATTAATGTTATCGATATCCTGTTATCATATGATCAGAAAGAAATAAGATCATGGAATGAAAGCAAAAATAAATCACCTGTAATACGGGAAGGCCGACGGCCAGCGGTACGGCCGGCGTTACCGACAATGTGAGCACCCAAACTGAAGCCAACCAAGTGGACGTTGTTCCAGTTGCCACCAGCATTATTAATTAACCAAACGAGGAAATTGCCAAGAAACTGCCCTACACCCGGTACGCCTCTGACAGCACTTGTGTATGCCCCATTAGCAACCCCTCTCCAGTCCACAACAATCACGTTACAGTCTTGAGTGTCGAGGAAAGCAGAAGTGACTTGAGGGTTTATTGCTGAGTTTCCATTACTGTTCCATCCGTGAACGATGACTTTCAGAGGACGATTAGCATTGTAATTAGAGTTCCTTACAGAGTTTATGTTTCCATTAATAAGGACCTGGTGATTGTTGCGGTTTTGTCTGGGGAAAAAAAAGATCTTTAAGTATCGACAATTAATACGTAAAGTCTTGAAAATGAAAAGTTACTTTACAGCTGAGCTATATCTTAGTAAAAAGTTTATTGAAATGGACTTCCAAACACATGACTAACATTATCTATGTAGCAAGGAGGTTACCTTGTAAAAAGCCAGTATGCGTTGTTGGCACCATTCCTACCCTGAATGATATCTTCTTGAGCTGGCTCATGCAAATCTACTAGGTGAGGAATCCCTTCACCATCAGGCATCCAGATGTAGCGGCTTTCACCCTCCACATAGTGACTGTTATCTCCAGGAATGACGGGGATTGCGCTACCAGCGCTTACTATAAAATTGAATAGAACGTTAAACTGTACTGTTGGTTTTTCCGAAACAAATACTTTGTATAAAATATAATATGTACTTACTAGCCGTTACGGCAGCCAACACTAATAAAAGCTTCATGGCTTTTGGGATACAGTTTCAGAACATGTGAAGTTGCTACACTGAATACAGACTTACACTTTTAATGCGCTATTTATAGTCAATATTTATCACAAACGTCACGTAAAGCGCTCGTGTGATAATCTTTTAATCCGGTATTAATATAATTTTAAAGAGTTCTCTACGCATTCACCATGTATGTGATATTTAGTAAATCAAAACGAATTTATGAAATAAAAAAAGATGTGTCTGATCATATCTCCTTCAGACCAAAATGTATTCATCATCACATCATCACATCAACAGACTTTAATAGTCCACTGCTGGACATAAGCCTCTCCTTGGAAAGGAGGTTTTGGTCTACTATACCACGCTGGCCAGACGAGTTGGTATAGGGTTTGTGTCAAGTTTTCCTTCTCTCTGCAGTGCTGTGGTTCTGCGCAGTTTTTTCCCTTAGTCGGCTCTCACGACACCCACGGCATGAATAGGGGTGTTGACACTCTGTATTCTTAATCCGTTACCACACGGATAATGTGCAAAATGTGGTAAGAGCGGATATCTAAATAAAATCATTTCCAGCTTTTATTTAGAGAGGTTGCGGAGGTACCATCAGTATTGTAATATTAATAATATCAATGTTAAATTACATTTACGGACATTAATAGGCAATAAGTACATATCTTGAAAATAGGTAGGTACACACTGGGTGTTCTTTGTGTAAGTCGTAATAAATGTTTGTAAAGTCCCTCGCGCTCCATAATATATTCCTAGTGCGGGAGATGTCTGTTAAAAAAAAAACCTTTCAAATGCCTGACGTTTCAACCAGGGCCTCAATTCTGCTATTTTAATATTGTATCAATAGACCGTCGATGGACGGTCGTCGGAGTAGTCTTGCACTTTTACAAATGTAAGACCAATGGTCCCCCGATGACTTGTCACTGAACTGCCACTAATACAAATATAGGCGATGTCTTTGTAATAAATTGATAAACGGTACATTTAAAATTTGTAAGAAAATTAAATATTTAATTTGCCAGATGTGGGAATGTTATTGATAAGCCATTGTCACCTCCTCGACAGTCTATTAACACTTTGAATTTATGTAGTAGAATACCAATATTTTGTCAAACGATGTCAATGAAATCTCAATGTCATCTCAATAGCGTGTCAATGAAATGACAGTGGCAGTAGCGTGAACATTAAATAGCAGAATTGAGTACCTGGTTGCATTTGACGTGGTCATAGTTTGATTGGTGCAGCGATGTGCGGCCTGCGCCGTACTATAGTCCATCAACGCCGTGCGCGACCGTCCCGCGGGGTGAAAGACAGTGGCGGGGGCGAGATTGCCGGGTTATAGTCAGCCAGCTAGCCAGTGCATTCAACATGCAAATATTTATAATGTATACGAATATTTTGTTAAAAAAACATATGCATTCAAGTAAATAACTTTATTTTGTTGTTATTTTTTTTTTGTAACGCATTGCATGTATTTTTATATCCTGTGGAATCATTTCATTAAACGAATACAGTGAACACAACTTTTTTGAATGAAGCAAGAATCGTAGGATTAAGAATCCTCCGGCTTTGGCCAAAGGCTTGGGCTGTGGCCTACTATTCAGCTTCGGCTACGGCATAACTCGACCTTTGATCTTTTAGTATAATTTTAATATCTGACTTAGTTTTCAGTACATTACAAACACACTGAAATAAAAAAAAACGTACAGAACTCATGAGAGTAATATAAATACTGGATTATATATTAATAAATCAGGATTATCATTCGCCTTACGTGTCAAAGTTTTATGATAAATATTAACTATACATAACACATTACAAGACTAACACACAGATTTGATTCAGCGACTCTACGTGTTCTAAAATTCATCCATGAAAATTCCATCCACCCATGAAGATTATAATATTCAAAATTGCTATATGTCATAGCAATTTCCATCGAGCATGACATCTAGCTTTTGTCATGGAACAGAGTGGCGGCACATTATCGAAGCCTATAATAAGTGAGTCATTTATGTAAATTGTAATAAATACGTCACATCACACTCTGTAAGGAGGACCTATTTGACAGTCGAATAATTTACCATTATATTTTAATCAGAAATGTAACATTCGTAGGAACAATGAAATTATCCTATTCGCAGGAACAATGAATATATCCCTTTATAGGCTGCCAGTGAAAACTAAGATAATGCTTGTTCAGACTCTAATATTCCCTATAATCGACTATGGTGATGTGTGCTACTTTGACCTGAATGCAGATATACTTGATAAGCTCGACCGCCTTCTCAATAATTGCATTCGATTCGTTTTCAATTTACGCAAATATGATCACGTGTCTCAGCATCCCTCCCATTAACTAACCCTATATTCTTTACTCTTTCCTCCAAGTGCTCCTTCTTACTTAACTAGTCAACTGCAATATTTGGGTGCAAACCACGCTAAAACCCTTAGATCTTCAAGCAACCTACTTCTTCACTGTCCCAATCACCGCTCTGACTTCGTCCATTTTACTTTTCTGGTACAATCTGTTCTGTTATGGAATGCGCTTCCTCTCGAGATCAGGATGGCAAAAATACCTGTTGTGGAAACCTTTTTTAAACTCCTTATCAGATGCATCTTAATTTTTTTTTTCTTTCCCTGCTAAAATTTATTATGTGGATTAAATATACACATTTATACAACAACTATATAAATGTGTATATTTAATATAATTATATGTATATATAGGTGCATATGTATTCACAAATACTTATGTATTGTATGTGTATGTATTATTATTACGTATTGTATATGCATTATTTATCAAGAAATATTCTTATGTATTTAATATAAGTACTCTGGGTCCGTGTGGTGACGGATTAAGAATACGGAATGTCACCACCCCTATTCATCCCGTGGCTGTCGTAAGAGCCGACTAAGGGAGCAGACTACGCAGGACGACAGCACTGCTAAAAACTTGAAACAAACCAACCCGTTTGGCCAGCGTGGTATAGTAGGCCAAAACCTCCTTTTTAAGGAGAGGCCTATGTCCAGCAGTGGACTGTTATAGGCTGTTGGTGGGGGTGGTTGGTGGGGTATATGATATCCTATATATGCTATATTTTTCATAAAATCACATTTTTCATTTCTTTTTTGGTGATACTCACTACATCTCTCCATCAATTCCTTGACAGTAAGTAAAGGGTCTGTTGTGGAGTAATCAGTTTGGAAGCCAGCCTGCTCGACTCTGGCGAATAACTTATAGATCTGGGAGAGAAGGTTTATGGGTCTGTAGTTTTTCAATAGTGGTGTGGAGACAATGGCGTTTTTCCATGTATCGGGTATTATGGTCTCAGACAACACTTTATTAAAGAGGTTACCAAGTTGTTTGACTACTGTGAGTCCTCCCACCTGAAGCATCTCAACGTAAACTTCATCCTTGCCAGATGCTTTAACGCACTTCATTCGAGATAAGTCAAACTCAAGTATGGACGGTATGTGCTCAGTATCCATAGGGTCAATTGGGCTTGCTCGAAGATCAGCAGTATTTGGCGAATCTGGTTCCATTTCTTTGGACGAATATCACTCGCCGTAGTACTTTTCAACTTTTTGATTTTTTTTCGAATAGTTGAAAAGTACGTCATCTCTATTTGTCACAACTTCAAACTCAAACTCTCTTTATTTCATAAAATTTTCAAAATTGTTTGAAATCGTCTTTTATGTAGACTCTAAAGTCATAGATCAGCACACACAAAAGCAACAATCTCTGTTTTGTCAAATCATCAATCATCATCATCATCATCAATCATCATCATTCATCTGTCCTATTTTTAAGTTTGTTTATTTCTGATTTACAGGTAGCTTATTTGCGTCTAAATACTTTTGGGCCTTTATTTGGTTTGATTGTTTTAGTGATTATTTTAGTATTAAATGGTCTCAGATCATATCTAATTGCTTTTCTAATAATTTTATTTAAAGATATAATTTTCTTTTATCTGTTTTGTTGTTAATTTTCAATTCTCTTCAAAAGTGATAGGGTATGGGGTGTTAATTTCTTATCCTTTGACTTTATTGTTCCTATATGCTTTTTGGTTGTACTGGTTACTATTTTAACTAATGTTTTGTTCATACTATTAAAATCCATGTTCACCTCTTCCAATGCATCAAATTGGTTTTTCAGTTCATGTTGGAACTCTTTTTGTAGGAAAAAATACGCGCCTGTTGTACTTTTGGTGTTGCGGCTTGACCATCTCAGATCTTTCTTTACTGAGATTACATTGGAATGTGGCGCGAACAATTCTACGATTACTACTTGTTTTAAATCTTTTTAAAACGTTTATCTTTGTTATAGTTTGTTTATTTTGAATGAGGATAAAATCTCATTTTTGTATACCCATCGGGGCTTGCCCAAGTACACTTCCTTGATGTACGTTTTTTAAAAAAGGTGTTCATCGCAAAAAGTGGCTTTCTCTCTAAGAAACTGACCAGGGTTTGTCCTCTTGAGTTTCAAATGCCGGTACCAATTTTGCCTATGGAGATTTCGTTTTCTAATAGAGGGCTAATTTTGGCGTTAAAATCCCCCATGATCACTGTATAATAGCAGGGATTATCATCATATGTTTTCTTTATTTCTTCATAGAAAGCTTCAACTTCCTCATAAGGATGGGTTGAAGTAGGAGCGTAAACTTAAATGATCTTCAAGGAATATATTTTCTTGAGAGATACAGTTATATAACACACTCTCGTTAATATACTAATAACATTTGTTACTCTATAAGAAATCTTTCTGTGTATAAGAAACCCTACTCCACCATATATCGTATCCTCTGTGGAAAAATAGATGTCCACTTTTAAGTTTACTTAGATGTTCTCCTTTTCGCCTAACTTCAGATAGCCCAATTACATTCCAATTAATTTCTTCTAAATCCTCTAATAATTCTAAAAGCCGATCGTCAGTACTCAGGATTTTCGTATTATAATTTGCTAAAGTCATTGTTGTTCGGCAGCAGGAAATCTTTCGGAGACTCTTTGCACCCTCTTCCCCGCCTGAACTAGAACCATTGCCGGAGCTCTTAATAGCGGGGCTGCCGGAGACTGAGGCCCGTTCATTCAAGAGGTGATTCACAGTAATAGAGTAGATTGTTACGCTTACCAGTGCGTCTTGGTGAGTCGCCAGAGCATCGTTCGTCTGTCAGCAGGGAATACCATGTGCAAGTTGGCTTGGGTAGCAAGATGTCAGAGCCCCCTTATACCCCTTGTACATGTTTTTTTTTTAGCATTTTTTTCATCAAAGAATTAAGTATAAACATACATAAGTGTTTCTCCGAGCAACACAGCTTGTTGGTGAGATACGCTGGTTAACAATTTATAACAATTACAAACACCTTTAAACTACATTACATACATTCTATGTAAAAGCACTAACCCAAAAGCTAAATATATGGATCGACTACACTGCTCGAATGGACCTTACTGATAGTAGTGTCACCTTCACCGAGCAATAGACCCTTCAACTTTAATTTTAACATATTTTTAATCAATTTATGTTCTGTTCTGAACAGTTCTATATCATTAAACATTTTAGGGACTAGATATTCAGTAGGAATAACTGAAAATCAAGTCCCTAACCACTAAAGTCCACTGCCTCTCCTTAGAAAGTAGGTTACTTTCTAAGTAGAGGCAGTGGACTTTTAAGGGCTGTTGATGATGGTGATGATAATTTTCAAATATACATATTGTTTCCGATGCAAAGACATTTCACTTGATTGTTGCCTACGTCAATTTCAGCGAGCGTACAATACCCTAAAGGGTAAATACGTGAGGGCGTGGACGTTTCAATGCAATTTGAATTGGCTTATGTCGTACTCGTATCTATCTCATAATCATTACTTTTATATGGGTACTTACGTGCATACCTTCCTACATGAGTATCTATAACTAATTGCATATGTAGTAAAATTATTCGTTAGTTGTATAGTATTTTTTATTCTGATTTTGCTATTTTAATGATCTGAAAAACTGGCACCGACCTCAAAAAAAAGCATGATCCGCTATGTGGTTTATTTCATTACTACTTATAGTTCATTATTTTTTTTTACACTAGACTATATTTTCATAGTGTAGTTTTTATTAATAAAATAAGAAATCCTTGTCAAATATTTTTTGTTTTAAAAGACAACTCCCGCACTATGAGTTGATCCTGTAGCGCGGGGGACTTTACAAACATACATTAAACGGACACAAAAAACTGTGTTTAATAGAATAAATAATTTAATTATTTCTTACTTTTCAGTTCACCGAGTGAGTGACATTACCGGAGCCCAAACCAATCCTTTTTTTTTTCCGTGCGGAAATCCCCTCGGATACCACCTATCGGTGGCATGTCGGACTCGAACCGACTAAAAACGCACGCCGTCTCGGGTACTAATAGCCGGGGAACCAGGTATACCCTAGAAAGGAAGTCCCTGGTGCCCCGACATACCTCGGGCCATCTACAACAACATGTAGACGGCCCCTCCCGTGTGGGAACCCCATGTTCCCTCTGCTCCCTGGAAGCGAGCGCGCTTCGCAACGCGCTCGCTGCCACCCCGGTCTGCTTCTGCTAGGGTGACAGATGGCCTCACCTGTCACCCCCAGGCCTGCGCTTATGGAGGACGGAGGTCGTTCTGCGACCTCCGGCGCCTGAGTCGCCTGCGGTACCTGGCCCGTTCCCGGGCCTGGCGGGCTGGCAGAGTCCTAAACCTCTTCCCGGTCCCGCTCCGCCGTCTCCTTCGCGAGCGTAACTTGCTCGCAGAAGGAGACGGCAGAGTTCCACGCACTCTCGCTCCGCACGATCACCGCAATCAGGCTATCGAGCGAGAAAACTCCCACTCCGATGGCCGCCACGAGGTCTCGCCTCTGCTCAACCCACGCCGGGTACTCTGCCAGCTTGTGGAGAGCCGTGTCCACGGTCTGGCCATCGCAGTGGTGGCACTCAGGCGTTGGCTCCTTGCGGATCAGACACAGGTGATCTCCGAAACATCCTTTCCCAGTGATCACCTGCGTCAGTCGGTATGAGAAGGGTCCCATGACGCCTCTCGAGCCAATCCTCCATAAGGGGTCTTACCGCCGCGATGACGGCGTGCCCGTAACCCATCCTCCTGAATCAAATATTCATCCAATTGTCAGTCATTCTTATATTGCAGCATTTTCAAGCATAAGTGGCTGCAAACACCATTGTTCCAGCAAATGAGTAACAAATACCTCATATCATATCGTTTGTTTTATGATATCTTTTGTTGTGCATAAAATGATTTAATCTATATTCAAATCACTGCGCAATAAAAAGTAAGTAACTGCACAAAAGTCTTTTTGTTTGAAGAATGAGTTGGTATGCATCAGGGCTTGATGGACTTAGAAGAAACAAATCTAAAACCACTCACAGGATTTTTGTTTGGAACTTCCCGTTTTAATTTTTTTTTCTATGTAATAAATTCGACTGTATAATTAGACTAGTAAATTTTCCATTTACATGTAGTTATATTTTGAACACATGATGAAAACCAAATGGTAGAAAATCATACTAATATCATAGAATAAATAAGCATGTGTTTATTGCCAGGGATAGATTCAGATTTTTAAATAACATTTAATGAATGTTAATATCCACTTTAAGGATCTTGTTTATTTTTAGTTTTGTAGTTATATCTGTTAAAGTCTGGACCTTTCTAAAAATATCTAATTTTCAGAAACATCCAGACTTTCCATGAATATATTTGGTTTTATATACCAATTGTCCATTTCATGTCATTCCGATTGACTAATAAAACTAAATTTCGTAAGAGAGATTATGAAATGTTAGCTTTATTGGTAAATAATATTATTGTAATTTGATATAAGTTAGTTAGTAAGTGATGGGTTAATAAAATAAAATAAATAGTTTTCTCAAATTACTTGCATTTTATAATTCAACGAATACAAAGTTACTTAAAATGGAAATGATCTGCCAGTCGTAAGGGCGAAGATACCAGATCTGTAAAAAGAATAACAATAGATTTTTACAATTACATTCCAATACCAATTCCAATACTCAGGAATATTTTTATAGAAAATTGTACAGAAATATGTCTTTAATAACTTAAATTAAATCAAAAATAACATAAGTAACGTTCATACGCATTATAGTGTAATTAAATTTAGGTAAAACACCTCATTGTTACACACTACCAGAATTCTACTTACCCTCTCTTGTTTACGATTCCGTTGCCCATCCTCAGAGTGCCACCGGTGCATTGGTTTGGATTTGAAACTTGATTGATGTTGGAACAAGCCCTGCCATTGAGGTGGTTGTTGCGAATAGTTGCCGCAAATAGTTCATATGCACGACTATGGGAACAGGTGCTTATCCAGCAACCAGGCTGAGGGTTTCTTCCTCCATTGGGGTAGAAATCAGAATCGGCAATGCGGTCGAAGATACCAAGAAGTCCACCATCAGTATGAATTGTCTCAACGTATTGACCATCATTTCGGTTCAAAGCATTCGAGTTTCCGCCCCATTGAGGACCAGCTGGATCCAGTCCTGCAAGTATATAACAATGCTAAATTAATATTAATGTTATCGATATCATGTTATCATAAGCTCAGAAAGAAATAAGGTTATACACTAAAACTAATAATGAAATCACCTGTAATACGGGAAGGCCGACGGCCAGCGGTACGGCCGGCGTTACCGACAATGTGAGCACCCAAACTGAAGCCAACCAAGTGGACGTTGTTCCAGTTGCCACCAGCATTATTAATTAACCAAACGAGGAAATTTCCAAGAAACTGCCCTACACCCGGTACGCCTCTGACAGCACTTGTGTATGCCCCATTAGCAACCCCTCTCCAGTCCACAACAATCACGTTACAGTCTTGAGTGTCGAGGAAAGCAGAAGTAACTTGAGGGTTAATTGCTGAGTTTCCATTACTGTTCCATCCGTGAACGATGACTTTCAGAGGACGATTAGCATTGTAATTAGAGTTCCGTACAGAGTTTATGTTTCCATTTATAAGAACCTGGTGATTGTTGCGATTTTGTCTGAAAAAAAAACATTTATTTTATGAAATTATCGACAATTACAATCAGTGCGTAAAATCACTTTTACTTTATAGGTAAGCGATTTGATTAGTCTTTTTAAATGTTTAATAAGTAATGATTATTAATTGTCAAGTTGTTATTAAAGATAACAATAACAAAATATTAAGATTTTATTCTTTTTTCATTCACGTTTAGGTTCAGACTACCGTGTATGAGATGTGTGAAGTTGTATGGTTTATAGTAATAGACTTATAAATCTTTTCAACCTTGGGCTCATAAACTAAGGAAAACAAACTTATAAGAATAAATTGAAACTAGCACTTTGGATACTTGGGAACAAAAAATAATAGAAGATATCAAATCTGTTATATTTCAGAGAAGTCATTTAATTATGTAGTTCAAAACTTTAAACCTTTTTGAAATGTACATTATATTTATACGTTTTAACCATCATAGTTTTGTCCAGTATATAAATCGACGTACGTAGTTGACATTTAAACTATGGAAAATATAAGATGGTTTGGGTGTGACATATCAGATAAAATGTTTTTCTAAATAATCCAAACCTTTTATTGAGTGCGAATATTAAAATATACCTTAACGATGTGATTTAAACGGTAAAGATCAGAATTATTACATTGTCAAAACTGTAGGTAGGGGTGATCGGTTTATAGAAATATAACACCTACGAACATATTCGTGGGATAAAGAAGTTACCTTGTAAAAAGCCAGTATGCGTTGTTGGCACCATTCCTAGCCTGAATGAAATCTTCCCGAGCAGGCTCATGCAAGTCTACTAGATGAGGAATACCCTCACCATCAGGCATCCAGATGTAGCGGCTTTCACCCTCCACATAGTGACTGTTATCTCCCGGAACGACGGGGATTGCGCTACCAGCGCTTACTGTAAAATAAGTGGAATTGTACTCTACTGTTTCTTATTCAAAAACAACAATATGTAACAGAAAGTTAATAAAAAATATATTGTGTACTTACGAGCCGTTACGGCAGCCAACACTACTAAAAGTTTCATGGCTTTTGAGATACAGTTTCAAACTATATGATGTTTCTACACTGAACACCTAATTGGTCTTGTAATGCGTTATTTATAGTAAATATTTATCACAAAATGTTGACAAGTTAAGCGCTCCTATGATAATCTTTTAATCCCGATCGCAGAATTAAATGCGTAAAAGTATTATGATGTTTGTTTTTATTGTAAGTATGAGTATTCCAATCTGGTAATAATAAGTAACAAAGAATCTAAAATAGTGATTCAAGAATTTTGAAAACAATATTATTTCCATGCTTAAGGTGAAATTGATAATTAATTGATAAATTAAAACCACAAAAATTAACAACCCGCCATGAGAGGTCCGTGTGGTGACGGATTAACAATACGGAGTGTCACCACGCCTATTCATCCCGTGGGTGTCGTAAGAGACGACTAAGGGAGCAAACTACGCAGGACCACAGCACTGCAAAGAGCAGGAAAGCTTGAAACAAACCCTATACCAACCCGCCTGGCCAGCGTGGTATAGTAGGCCAATACCTCCTCCTAAGGAGAAGCCTATATCCAGCAGTGGACTATTAAAGGCTGTTGATGATGATGACGATGATGAGAGGTAGAACTACAAACAGAGAGAATTACGTCGTCTATGTAAACACCTACCGAAAAATTTCCCCGGAATCGACGGCGCACCAAGCCAAACCCTATCCCTATATTTGACTCCATATTTGACTGCACGGATGCCATGGTGGTGGCCTGCCTTGCCGCTATCTAGTGAGAGTTGTGGGTACGATCCCCACATGGGAAAACAGTTTGTGTAAACCACAAATTGTTGTTCTGAGTGTGGGTGTTCTTTGTGTCTGTTTCATGTGTGTTTGTGAAGTTCCAGCTACTTAGAATATATTCCTAGTGCAGGAGTTGTTTTTTATAACATACAAATAAAATAGTATCCTTAGAATTATAATGCCTGATGCCACTAACTTGTAGTGGAAACAGATATTAGTACGTATTAGGTATAGGTAGGTTTTCTATGGTCAATGACTCCCGCCACCCATATCAACCTGCACCTCTCGCCCCTTTCTTCCCTCCCAGTTAAGGAAGGGAATGGCGTTGTAAGGTTTCCGGTAACCTCACTCATTTGGTAATAAAAACCAAAAATGTATTTAACAGAAAATCAGTTCTGTCAAACCGGGGTCAGGGTCGTATGTGCCGAAAGATGGCTATCCCACAGCGATGTCTGGCAATCTCTATGATACATACTTTATTACCCGACTGCGCCAGAAGGAGGGTTAAGTTGTCGAGTGTATCGGCTGAATGGATTTTGGCTTGTGAGGTATCGTTACTAACAATGATTGCGAATCTTAATTATAGAAAGTTGTTTATATAACCGTTAGTACACAGTATATTGTTGCCCTATCTTAGTATATCTAACAAGAATATAATATTATGTGGTGGCATATCCAAGAAATTGAACCCTGTCTCTTAAACTAGACTGCGCCTGTATCTTAACAGACAGTTATTAGCAACAAGGTGCTACATAAAGTATTTGCTTAAAACGATAACGATCTATTTAGTTTTGGTCAATTAATCCAAATACGGTATTGAGTTTGTGTGACCGGTATGTATGTGTATGTATTTGTGTGTGTATGTGTGTGTGTGTGTGTGTGTGTGTGTGTGTAAGAGAGAGTGTGTGTGTATTGGCATTGTGTATATGTGCGTGTGTGTATGTGGATTTGTATAACTTAATTAATTTTAAATCTATCTTATTGTATAGGCAAGGCATAGGAAGTAGTCTTTGAAAATATCAAAGTCAATTACGCGCATACTTAAAAGTTCTAGCAGTCTAGGAAATGAGGTAATAGTATGAGACACTAGGTATATGAAAATTTAAAGAATGTCCCTTTTGTAAGTTTGAAGTGCTCATACATTTCATGCAGTTGGGTATTTCGTATTTTTGTACTCATTGCCTTGGAGCAAGTAAAAATTAATATTAGGCGTGTATTTTACCGTGTATCTTACCAACACCAATAATTTGCTGTCATTTCAGATTGCAAGCAAGTTATCTGTTACGGTCCGAGACCTAGTGTCCGTGGCTTAGCTTAAAAAGTGTAAGGTTCAGGCAACTGTAATTTTACGTAATTACCATTTTTTTATTGTTTTTTTTTAATGCTTACTAGCAACCGAAATTACTAGTATTCCCGTTAACCCCTCCAGCTAAGGTAAATTGCTTGTGTTAAGGGAGTGAGTTCACGTCAGTAGTGTACAGCAAAACTTGTTACACTAACGAAACGTACATTGAGAAAACCGCCACATGGTGCAGTAGTCTATGCAACGTTAGTTTATGTTGTACAAATCAATGAACAACACACTTAAATATCTGATTCTGATATCTATATACATTTTTAAATTTCTGATTGTATTGTTGATTTCTGTTGATCTCTTGGTCATCTAAACCATTCCAAATACTTTCATGTCACACGGTGTCAAAGGCTTTCAGGTAGTATATGTGAGCGATGTAAGGAGACTTCTGCTGCTCTAGGTCTTTTCTGTTCGGAGTTCTAAAGTGTCAATGTGATGTTCTATCGTTGAAAACCAATTTCTGAACCCTGCTTGTTTGATATTCTTGTTTTTATCTATAATTTGTTTACTTTATTGTTAATAATTAATGAGAAGAGTCGGTTATTACATATTGACAAGTTGTACATGACTAGAGAGACTACGTAATGTGAGAAGGAGACACATTGTGTGGACAAGAGTTACTTAAGGTAATTCTTAAGTAAGAAGAGTAAGAAAAGCCTGAACCTCATGTGATTGACCTACGATAGCCAATATTTTATCATATCCACACCACCTCACTTAAACAAATCATCTACATAACCTTAGATTATATTGTCATTAATAAGATAATAATCGTAACAAAGGAATGGAAAAACCCGATTAGACAGAAGAAGGCAAAGTTATGCATTATCATTTTGTGCAATCACTTCTGATAAAATAATATAATTACATGTTTATAGCGATTATAATGATAAGTAATTAGTGAAACAATACACAGTGGCGTGACCTTCATACAAGCCAATAATCCCAGTTTGCCCTATTGAAAAATGTTGAACGTTAATTGCAATTAACTGTTACAAATAAATAATATAGTGAATGCATACTTTCACAATAAAGAGCAATCTAAAATGATGGCGGTAAGGTAAGGTAATATAGCTGGAGAGGCGGTATGGTAGCCTACTGGATGACTCAAGTGCTGACCAGCCAAGGAAAGTACCTTTGTTGTGAACACAACGTCAGAAGCCAACGTCTGTGTGCAATCACGGCGGTGGCCGTGGCGGGAATACTGCACTCCTGTCTCTATTACTCAAATACTCTCTATACAAAAAAAACATTTAACCGACTTCAAAAACACAAAAGTAGGTTGTCCATTCGATTGTATTTTTTTTTGTGTTTGTTACGCGAAATCTCTGTCAATTACGAACCGATTTTCAAAATGCGTCTTGTAATGAAAAGGGTATAATCAAGAGTTGGTCATATTACCCCCATATCAGAATCTGATGATGGGATCCCAGAGAAATCTCGAAACACAATCAAATTCTACAGGCCCGACAACGTGTTTTAGCTTTCTCTAGCTATAAGAGTATTGGCGTTTAGTAGTCGTTATGTTGCTGAGCTGACGATGGAAGGGTCCTTGATCTTTAGGCGTTAGAGATGAACTATTTCAATAATATAATCATGTAGTGATCTTGTTATATTCTTATAAGATACGAGTATTTGTTAGGTGTTTGTGTTGGGTTACAGAGATATGTGCACGAGAATGTAATAAATGAGATCACAAAACATTTAGACTAAAAAAATATTTTCATGATTGTTACCTCAAAACTCTTTCATTTGTAAACAGATTTGGAAAATTCTTTTTTGTTTGGAAATATACAATTCCAATTCCTCTTTGGTTCCATTCAAATGTGAAGAAAAAATGCCATTTTAGATATTCGTTGAAGAAAAGAGCTTACTGAAGCTCTTGGCACTCCAAGGTCTTTAAGCAGGTCTGTTGGTCTGGTGGTTAGTGACCCTGACAGCTAAATCGAAGGTCGTGGTTCGATTCCCACATAGGACAAATATTGTGTGATGAGCACGGTAATTTGTTCTGTGTCTGGGTATAATTTATCTATAATATGTATCTATTTAAAAAAATATAAGTATGTTTATCAGCAGTCTGGTTACCACAATACAGGCTCTGCCAAGTTTGGGATCAGACGGCCGTGTGTGAGATGTGTGAAAAAAAACAGAGATTTAGCTGGTGTACCCCTCGCACCCATGCACTGACCCTACGATGCTTCATTAGAATTATTTTGAATTCTTAATTTTTATTGAGTCATTTTTTTTTCATTTTTATTTTTAAAAGTTAAACTTGACATAGACCTGCAGCATTACTTATTGAGCACCCGGCTTGGCACCGACTTCAAACAGGCTAGAAGGTATCCATTTCTATTATAATGTTATCTGTTATATTAAGGGTCGTACTTAGTTAATTACTTGTTTTGGTTTTTTCAAAAAGGTTTGTAATATTTTTTTTTTTTTTTATTAAGACCGGGTAGCTTACTTCTGAGAGACTTTTGCAGATAGTTTTTCTTTTTAATTATACAGATGTTCAGACAACGTCCAGATTTAAGAAGCACTCCATACGTAAAGTTATTTAAAATTAGATATTTTTCGACGTCAACCAATTGATGGATAAGCGTGAAGAGGTCCTTAACGGTCTCATAGTAATAATGCTATTGATACCTTGGAAAATAGTTATTTACATTTTGACATCAATTGCAAATAAGAGGAATCAAATATTGCAAAACATAAATGATAATCAAAGACTAGCAAAGAAAAAAGAAATATTCAGAGACTATTGTTACACTTCGAGATAAATAAACAATTATTAGTTTAAATAAATAAATAAAAATAACACTGTGACCATGAATGAACGTTGACACTAAACATTATAAATTTCTTTTTTATGATTGTCTTTGTGTTGTGTATGAAATTGTTACAATTTCTTCCACAGATTGGCTATACGAGGTAATAAGTCCGCACAAGCTAGATGTTTTACAGTGTTGAAGGATGGCGGAAAGCTGCATCGTGCATAAATTCAAATTATTCTTGAGAGCACGCTACCCACAATGCTCAGTACAGAGTTACTACATCTCGACGCAACGCCAAAGGATTAAACCGATCAAAAAGCAAACGACCAATCGACCAGTCAAGTTGCTTCCCATTCTATGGGGTCCAAAGGGAGAAAGAGGTTTTGCGGTGCTCCTGCTTAGAGATGATGATATAAAGTTGTAGGTAGTAGACCGGAATCAACACAACAAGCTTTTTCAAGACTAATTGGAACCTACCCTCTAAGTAAGTGTAAACCTGTTCTTCACTCAATATGTCTACGCTAGATAATTCAGTGGCTGTGACAGTTCAGAAAACGCTCTCATCTGCGTAGCAATCAATACCGCTAATTCGTAAAATATCGTTGAAATGCAGAAGGAACAGCGAGAATGATAGTACTGATTTGATCGGTTGTGTCAGCAATGTGTGTAAATACTTGTAAACTTGTAAAAATATGAATCAGTTGCTTAAAAACTGTAGTAGGATTAGTCCTCTACAAATCCAGGTTATGAAGGTAACTGAGTACAAATCTAAAAGGTTTGCAACACATGCATTACTTTATGTAGAATGGAACCAATAACATTTAGTGATAATATTATATAATTGATAAGATAAGCCGTAAAACAAAACTTTCAACAGCACATAGATGCTGCCATACGGTACAAAAAAAAATTCTTCACGTATTAATACATATATAGTTATTAATATGTGAAGAAAACTTTTTGTACCGTGTACAAATGTTCATATGTAGAAAAAATATAATGTGCTATAAAGTTAAAAAATATGTTAACCACTATATAAAACTGTAGAGATCCAGTAAATAATTTATATTTTGATCTGTCACGACACAAAAGTCTATGTAATGACAGCTTAAGTTAAACTTGCTAATGAAATATAATAATACATTCAAAACGAATGTCTAGTACCATTAGGTAAAGAATTATTTTTGTGTTCTTTGCCGGTTAGCTTCAAGCGATTCTGAAAATAAATTATCACTAAAATGCAATAAATATCTAGAATTTAGTAATTAAGATCTATCTATCATCATTATCACTATTCATCACATAATCGTCTTTTATAAGTAGATAACTTTTTCCTGTAAAAGTAATTTTTCAGTCTTTTGGAATCAATACTTTATTTTCTGGGTTAAGGTTTCCTTTTTCTTTTTTCTATATCCTTGGTAACGACATTCAAAAGTTTATGAATGTGAGATGAACGCTATAGGCAGGTAAACATTGATTTTTACATAATAAATATACGTAACACAATAACTGCTGATTGATAAATGAAATAACCTCTTTACGATAAAACTGTGTAATAAAACATTACATGATAATGATGATGGTTGAAGAAAATAATAAAATGTATAGTAAAACCTGTAATATACAACCATATATACAATGATATGAGTGATTGAATTATTATGATTTTCTTTAATATTTGTAACGGAATAACTTATGAAATCTATTTATTATATAACCATTTATCCAACCATTATCATCATAAAACACAAACTATATCTAGACAAAAACCCTATACTAAACCGCCTGGGCAACGCAATATAGTTGGCCAAAACCTCCTTCCTAAGGAGATGCCTATTCTAGCAGTGGACTATTAAAAACTGTTGATGTGATGTGATGTGTAGACAGTTATATTTCAGGCATTAAAAGAAATAGCGTATTTAAAGTAGATAAATAGCTATGTATCAATATTGATAATCTTAATGTTTTTGAAAACTATTAAGATTATTAACGTCAATGAGAATATCAAGATTATTAAAACACATTATCAATATACTGATATTGATCTTCCACGCATTTGTAATATAAATACAATTGTTTCATTAAATTAGATAGTTACATCGTCTAGCGCTATGAAGTGTTTGTTGGTGTTCTCCATCGTTATAGCAGGTAAATAATTACAACTTATACTTAGGCACACACACATACATGCACACTTACAATTGTATTTAACTTGCTGTCAACACACTGTCTACATTAGTAATAATATTATCCACAAATGTTTCAAAGCCCTCAGACATTCTAGCAGCAGACAATTCGAATTACAAGTGTAAGGTAAGACCCTGTCAATTTCAAGGTATTACCTACACTTTTCAATCTATCTCTATTAGAGCTATACTGTTTCTTGTGTTGCTTTATGCCTTTAATACCTTACTGATTTTAACGATGACTACCCTAACGATTTAAAAAAAAATTGTCGGTTTAAAAAAAATGGGGATATATTGAATTCGCAAACTTCAATATATCTCCATTTTATTTTTTTAATCGTCATGTTTTTTTAACACATACATAATGTCTAACAGTTCCTTGTTATTCAGTTATACGTTTAGATGTACTCGTATTAAGTTAAAACCTACTGAATCTAGTGCCTAATATTTTATTGTTATTACAGCATCAAATTATATTAGAAGTTCTTACACATTTTTTAACCCTACTACTATTTCAACTAAAATTTTCAATAATATGATATATTTATTTCTATTAGTCATTGATAAGCTATGGAGGCGTCCATAGGACCCCCTTTTTTATAACCATAACTTTATTGTGTTATATTTACGTATGCTATTTTTTACCACACTCACTCATGTCAAAAGTGTATTACGAGGAGTTTGAATCTGCAACCACTTGACCCCATTTGTGAGCAATAAATGATTTGTGAGCTATAATCATTTATACACGTACAACTAACGCCTAAATTAAACAATTTAGTATGTTCTGTATTTTCATTTGATTACATTTCTTTGAATGTAGCCGCTGCTGCAAACGTAGTAAGATACTCAGGGTTGGATAAATACCCTGAGACTGAAAAATACAGAACATATAAGGAAGGTGACAGGTACTTTTATTTACCAAACGATGAGGGAACCATGACATTAGTTGACGCTGAAGAACCGGTCGATATGGATGACATAAATAGCCTTGTGAGGAACGCTATGGATAATGGCTACTGGTTGTATACTAGGTACGTATATACCCGTACATATAAAGTAATTAAATAAAAACAATCCCAGCACATCAAACCACTATATCTTTGATAACTAGGTATTTCCATAGCTTTCTATCAAGTTCCCTAATGCAATAAAGTTTAAGTTAATCTTTAAAAAAGTAACGGCTAAACTACCTGAACCGACTACTAAAAAATAAAATAAAATAAATTATAACACGTTACGTGTTACGTGTTAGGTGCTTTTCCGACGGGCACGCCGTCATTGCGGCGGTAAGACCCGTTATGGAGGATTGGCTCGAGAGGCGTCACGGGACCCTCTCATACCGATTGACGCAGGTGATCACTGGGAAGGGATGTTTCGGAGATCACCTGTGTCTGATCCGCAAGGAGCCAACGCCTGAGTGCCACCACTGCGATGGCCAGACCGTGGACACGGCTCTCCACACGCTGGCAGAGTGCCCGGCGTGGGTTGAGCAGAGGCGAGACCTCGTGGCGGCCATCGGAGTGGGAGTTCTCTCGCTCGATAGCCTGATTGCGGCTATGCCCGGCGCTGCCTGGCCCGGGCACGGGCCAGGCAGCGCAGGCGACTCAGGCGCCGGAGGTCGCAGAACGACCTCCGTCCTCCATAAGCGCAGCCCTGAGGGTGACAGGTGAGGCCATCTGTCACCCTAGCAGAAGCAGGCCGGGGTGGCGGCGAGCGCGTTGCGAAGCGCGCTCGCTTCCAGGGAGCACAGGGAACATGGAGTTCCCACACGGGGGGGGGGTCGTCTACTCGTCTGTAGATGACCCGAGGTATGTCGGGGCACCAGGGACTTCCTTTCTAGGGTATACCTGGTTCCCCGGCTATTAGTACCCGGCGAAGGCGTGCGGTTTTAGTCGGTTCGTGTCCGACATGCCACCGACAGGTGGTATCCGAGGGGATTTCCGCACGGAAAATAAATAAATAAAAAGGTGCTTTTCCGAAGTGATATGAGTAAAAAAGGTTATATTTCGTTAACTATTGGCATTCACATTATATGAAATTAACAGAATCAATAAATGAATAGAGTTCAGTGTGACTGAAAGGTGTATTGTGTTTTGTTTTTAGTAGCAAGTTAATATAAATCTTTTATAGCGATAAGCACTCGTCAATTGACCGTAAGATTTCTAATCTTATTTTGATATCTTTATAAACAAAGATAAATAAACATATTTTAATATATTTTTTAATGAAATAAACATATTAATTAGAAGAGAAGATAGAGTAATCGGTAACTATGTGCTTGTGTGCTTATGTATGTGCTTCCGGGATAGAAATGTATAATACATTTTGAAAATATACATTAAGCCATTGTCCATTGTATAAAACCCGATGAGTACATCGTAAAAAGCAAAACATGAATCATCAGATCAGATCAGAACTAACATGTTATTACATTTCAGGGCAAACCCCACAACACCACAGTTTTTGTATTTAAACAACCAAGCCTCTGTGATTAGCTCCAACTTTGATGCTTCGAAAGTTACAGTAGTGATTGCCCATGGTTGGAATGGACACGGCAATCACCGGATGAACAAAATGTTGACTGAAGGTAAGAATAAAAGAACAGAACGTTACTGTTTTATATATTATCGATATGGATCTATATTTACTCAAAAAAATCAGTAGAACTAGGTCAGCTAAGTGCCTTAACGTAAGTAAATTATGTACAGATCTAATGTTGTACCTATATAAAGTATTTTTTTATCTATTTACAAACCGCCATATTTATGGATTTTTTTATTAATAACAGGACAAAAAAAAAGACATATTAGATCTGTAAGGCATTTTTTTAATGTACTGACTTTATTAAAAGTTGATAACTAGCCTGATTGTTGCCTTGTTGTTGTACTTTAAATATAAAATTATTGACCTAGAGCATTGATATACAAAATTTTGTATATCAATGACCTAGAGTGAATAAATAAAATCTCTTGAGACAACATGTGAGTATGTTTATATATATTAAAGTGTAGTATTTCTTGCTCATAGCTGAGTGTCTTATAACCTTTTTCTTTTCATCTAATTTAATTAATTTGCGTTAGTCAAGTTTAAATATTCGAAATAATTGCCGAAATAACTAATCAGTTTATAGACGAAATTCTCGATAGTTTCTCGTGATTTTTTAACAATCATATTAACAATTTTTAAGAATAAATAGTAGGTATATGTTGGAATTCAAATATATAACATATTAATTCTTTATGGTATACAAAAAATATAATTATTAATAGAAATTAAATCCGAATATTTTACAATATTGGTATTACTAAATATTAGTCGGCATGGATCTAGGTACTTCTTTCAATTTCAAACATTTAGTGTAACGATTCTAATTTAAGACAAGACTAGGAGTTTTGGCGTAGTTTTTAGTATATGAAACCTATATAGGGAACTAAATTAATTAATGATTATTTTTGATGCAGTTTAAATGGTTTTTAATTACAAAATGAGCACTGTCTGTGATGTCAGTAGTCAGGTAGTCAGTATGTTAAAATTACTGTTTAAACATCAGATGTCTTAATTCTATAAACTGAATAGGTCGAGGTTTAGGAACGAAGTAAGAAATTGCATATGAATTCACATATTTAAAATTTATTTACAGCTTTTCTTGAAGATGATGATGTAAACGTTATTATCATTGATTGGAGCAGTGTTGCTACTAGGAACTACATTGCAGCAAGACGAGGCACTGCTGCAGTAGGCAGGGGACTGGGTCAATTTATTAGCTGGATGGTTGAAGCAGGATTTTTATCATATTCCAAAATCCATTTAGTTGGCTTTAGTCTTGGTGCCCATTTGGTTGGAAATGCTGGAAGGGTAACTGGTTCCGCAGTCACGCGAATTACAGGTATATTTTTTGTAAATGCACAATGATGGTTTATATTTATAAATTTCCTTGAAAGAGGTTTTTGATTTAAGGGAATCGTCACCACCATGTTCTGGTTTACATTTGTAAATACAAACCTTGATGTTTCAATGTCATTGATTTGCAGCGCTGGACCCTGCTGCACCTCTATGGGGAAGGGACAATGAGCGGTTGAATCCCAATGACGCTCGATATGTGGAAGTCATTCACACGGACATTAATCTACTTGGTTGGGCTGATCCGATTGGCGATGCTGACTTTTATCCCAATGGAGGTGCCTACATGCCTGGATGCTCTCTGAACAACAAATGTTCTCACGATCGTGCATATAAATATATGGCTAGTTCTATAAGGCATAACCATTTTCTTGCCTACGAGTGTAATTCACTGAGAGATGCAAGGCGCGACAACTGCCATGGTACTCCTCCCGCCCACATGGGCAACAGTGATCTAAATAAATCAAGGTAAAAAAACCTAATACATAAGTTATAACCAATTTCTTAATAAATATATTAGAAAGAGTTTTATCTTACGTTACTTACAAAGGGCTAATTATTTTTATAAATTTAAATTAAATAATTTTACGTTTACATAACAGAATAGCATATAAAATGTGACAAATAATTCATGTGTATAATACGTTTTAATACTTGTGCAATATATTCTTTTTTCTTATATTTCCAGACCTGGTATATTCAGAGTGAACACTGGCCGATATTACCCCTTCTAACCCTCCGCTTCATCTTCCGAAACTTCAAAGTAATTTTTATGTGTGCCTGAAGACGACTTTATATACATTTTATTATCGAAATTAATATTTTCATCAGATTCTTTCATTTTTATATCAAGATAAGTATGAGATGATTAAATAGAAATGATAAATAAATATTTATTTCTGTAAGTAAATCTTTCCAGATATTTTTACAAGTCGGAAAAATTTATGTATTTGATATAAATGTCATATTCCTTAGTTGTAAGCATTAGATATATATTAGGTTACTTACATCTCAATAAATAGTCAATACTATTTCATCAGTCTTGTGTTTAATTTATCCGTTCTTAGAACTTAGTTTCGTGTTGGACCGCTAAAGTAGACGACTCAGGTTTAGAGAATGAAAGCTCTATAAAGAGAGGATTGAATCACATAAATGAGATAAAATAATTTAATATATTAAAAACAAAGACAAAGTAATGTATTCACAATTGACGTGTATGTTAAAATTGTCAACCAATTCTAGTATCTCTTGGGGAATAGTATTTTTTTCGAGATTAAACATAAGTCCCTGCACCCATAAGTCCCTGTGCCCAGTATTTACTGATAACATATGTGTAAATCATTTGGTGATAATCAGTTGAATGGATAAACAAACAAATAAACTCACTTTCCATGTAAATTTCAGAAATTCGTACTGATTTTCGCTCATTAAAAAGATATGTACGGTCGCGGTCAAAAGTCCTGTAGCACTTTTACGAAGTTAAAACATTATAACTAGTTGGACTTACGACCTTCTTCTATAAACGTATATCAGACACACAGATACGCATCTCTACTTATGATTATAGTAACTATTTGAACGACAATGAATACAAATCGTTGATTCAATATTTTAAAGTAGTAGTCACTAAAAGTTTAGGGTAGATTTGAAACAATATGAATTTACTCGGTCGGTTGTTAAAATGAGTTATTGCTACTAGTTGCGTTTATATGTATTTAATACCAGCTGGTACCCGCGACTTCGTTCGCGTGGAATTTGAAAAGCGCTGCCTTAGTGGGTTCGATGCCCGCACCGGGCATAATTTTAAAGGGAGGAAAAATAGCCTAAGTTATTCCTTATGTTGACAGCTACCTGGTAGTAAAATATTATCAAAATCTGTCCAGCCGTTTAGAAGATTACCCGGAACAAACAGACAGACAGGCAGACAGACAAAAAAAATAAACTGGTTTTTAGGCATAGGTATCGTGCAAATAACCGTGTAAGCATGAAAAAAAACCTATAATTTTGACATTACAAGCAGACACTTCAATTTTATTTATTTGTATAGATTAGGCCAAAAACTCCTTTCTAAAGAGAGGCCTATGTCCAGCAGTGGACTATTATAGGCTGTTGATGTGATGTGATGTGTTAGATTAGTGAAAATGCACATTTTTTTTTCATATTAAGCTAAGCCTAACATTATAGTTTTGCATAGCAGATGGCTTAATTTATCTGAAATGAATAATAAATCCAATGAAACACGCTTAAATTTAAGTTATTATGATCGATTATGGGAACAGCCCAAAGTAGATTACGCACATCTCAAATGTTATGATTATTTTGAATGCTTTAATTGATCTGGTTGGTCTTTATTAATTACAAAATCTGCGATGTTTCAGTAGTGTTATATTGAATTCTCAATTCTTTATTGTGCTGATATAAAGCTGACATAGACGGTTTTACTTATTATGCATCGGGCTTACACTGATCATTTACATGGTATAGTTCGCTAATCGTACGATTCTGCTACAAGCTTGTAAGAAGAATTTTTGCATCGCGTTCACCTTCACCAAGAGTTTGATACAAAGAAAACCTATCAGTAGGTGTATTTTCTCAAGTGTTGTACACACATGCATGTGGCCAATCAACAACTTTCGTATACGTCAGTATTGTCTGTTTATAATATGTGTGTGCATTAAAACATCACACACAGAGAGATAGGCACAGAATCGGCGAGAGCGAAAATGAACATTACGATGTACTGTACCTATCCCACGTAATTTAATCATCACCAAAGTATACTAGTTAACATTGCAAAACACATTTCTAAAAATGTATGCTCTTAACAGTGCGTCTCACGGTTGGCTACTTCTCACCGATAATCTGGACCAGAAGGCCAATTCTCGTAATAAATGTTCGGTTACAATTCAGTGCCTATCCATTCTCGATCACAGATCTGTCCTAAAAGATATTTTGGGAGTAAAGTATTAAACATGCAACGTTAATTTTAATGCGATTAAATTTTATTGTAACCAAAAATTGAATCAGTAATCTGCTAATCTTAATAATCTGAGAATCGTACTTCTCGTCTTCGTATGGTTTAAGCGCAGCATTCACTTATAAAGCACGTTCCTTTGTTATGAATACGTATAAATAAGGAATTCAGAATAAGTAATGCTACCTGATTTGATTATGAATTTCGCGATAGTAATAATCAATGTTGTTTTGATATCGAGTTAATCCATGTCACGTATTTAACTAATAACTGTCACCCTGTTACGAGATTTTTATATATATCTAGGCAGTACGTAGCCTTTTGTCTCAGATGACAGTTACAAACACATTTATCCAATTTATAAACAGAAAATACTAGTAGCGAATACAGGAATACAGTGAGTTTTATGCAAAAACAACTAACTTAGGGGCACTCTAGTATTAGGCTCTCCCTTTGGACTACATTTAAAGAAGAGAGACTCGTATCGTCGATTACACAGAATATTTCTGATCAGCTTGACCTCTTGTTCTGTACTCCTCCACTGCGTTTTTCAAGAAACATTTCACCTCGCACAGCCAATCTGTGGCACAAATTGTCGCCTGCAAAGTTTATGGACCGATTAGACCTCCAAATCAATAAAAATGACACATCGACGTCAACGTACGCATAAGACGATAACATGAACACTATGTCAACACCCCCTCTTAATTAGTTACCCGCTGTAGCATAAGTAGTAGTAAGTAAGTAAAGTAGTTTATTATATAACTAATATAATAATAATAATATAATATATACTGACGTACACTTGGACGCGACCGTAATGCCCGAAATATTCAGTAATCGGTAATGATATATAACGCGGCGTATATAAAATGATCCCCTGTCTATTGTCTTCTTCCAAAACCATATTGGCTGTCACTGTAATATTCAACCTGTAGGTAAATGTTGCATTAAGAATACAAAAGAAAATTGTTACAGTATTTAGAAATTCTTTAAAAGACTGTTAACACAAATTTAAAGGATTAATTACGCTTTTCCGACAATATGACATCAATATAAAAGTAATTTTAACGGATTACGTTGTAATCCATTACTTTAAATGAAATTATTTTCCCAAACAAAATAATCCATGATTGATGACGACATGAAGCAGTTAATCGTGGCATGAATAATTATATGTACATGTTAATCTAAATTATGTGTTAATTAAATTTATCAAAACCCAAGGAATTAGTTATCAATATTGAGACAATAATTACAAACAGAAAGACTGTTTTAAGAAGTGTTTACTTATTTCTTTATAAACTAACATACAACTCTCAGTAGTAGAAGTTGGATGTATCAGGGATTTTCTTCCTTGGGTACCCTTAGTTTCTACTTCAGTACGACATAATTACCGGTGGGTGGTATCCGAGGGGAATTCCGCATAGGAAAAAAAGGGGTAGTCGGTTGGGTATGATATTTTAATATCAGAAAAAATAGTTAACTAAGGTTTGTATGGCCGAAACTGCGCCCAAACTGAACACGATTATGGTTATTACATAAAAATATAATGACCTCTTTTGCCACTTTCAAGGTTTAGTTTTATGACCAAATGTTGTTGTTCGAGAGCTTTAGAAAGAGAGTTTAGAATGCATAAAATACGATAACAGGAGGATTACCAACAAATCTATAAGAAAATAAACCCAACAGCTTAATAAAGAAAAAAATATAAATTAATCCCGTCAATTATTACATTTCAATTCTACTAAACGCACGCATAAAAATACACACATAAATATCTAAATAGCCATCATAAAAATATTAATTCAATCAGTTTTATTCAAAATTAATCGCCATTATAGTGTTAAGACATCAATAGTAATATAATATAAGATATATTTTACTCGTAAAAGTATAAACGACACTGGTTTAATATAAATAAAATTGATTGCAATAAAGAGTTATGGATTATCTATAGACTATCGATGTAATTGAATAAATTGAACCAATAAATTAAAGATTAGATGAACATGAGACTATTAAATAAGTACCCGGCAAATATTTAAAGCCTCATATTCCACTCAACAAGACAACCATGAAAACTTAGGATTTTGGTAGCGTACGCTATTTGCTAGAGGCCCTGAGGCCATTTACGAGTACATCTGAGGTAAGATGGTAATCAAAATAGATGGACCTGTTTTGACGTATCACCCACAACGGATTCCCTTTTACTAATTCCGTCAAATGATAGTACTATAGCGAATATCTCAGCCAGAATGCAACATTAAATTTAGATCTTAATATCAAACTTTATAAAAATTATAACATTCAAATTTAGAAAAGGTAAAACATCATAATTTTTTTTTAAGTGAAGATAAAGAAAAGATTAAAGACGCAGATTGCAACCGTTATTATTTTTACGTTTCTCTTGCTGGGGTATATATCTTTAGCACTTTCATTAAAAATGTTCATACTTCATTCCACCTCCTTCCTGTCCAGGACAAAATTAAATTCTTACTCTCGATCTAGGACCTAACTTTTAATCAATGATCATAAACGAACGAAATTGACCATATAACTATAAATTACCCTTAAAAAAGATTCACGGTAACTTTGAACTCTTTAACGGGCTGAAAGTTACACTCAGGATTGAATCGGAGCTTACAATTTACCTTCCTTGATTAATGTTAAATTATATTGATTATATGAATGATTAATAATAACTAAATTATAAGCGCCTACACCAGCACTGTACCTTAACAACATATTATCTAGAAA